ACAGAGACCAACAGCGGGCCTTCAAAAAAATTTAGGCAAACGTGACAGTTTTTCGGCAACACTTCAGCCTGTAGTTGAACCGTTCCTTGCTGCTGTCAAGGCTCCCTGTGTAGGGTTTCATGAGCCATGGCATTAATGGGTAAGCAGGATCTCCAAGGATCACAATGGGCATTTCAACTTCCCCTACTGTGATCTTCCGCTCTGTGAAAAAAGTCCCGGCCTGCATCTTCCTGAACAGCCAAGTGTTCCGAAAGATGCGTGCGTCATGCACCTTTCCAGGCCAGCCTGTGTTAATGTCAATGAAACGCCCACGGTGATCCACAAGCGCCTGGAGAACCATAGAGAAATACCCCATCCGATTAACGTACTCGGATCCTAGGTGGGGTGGTGCCAGAATAGGTATGTGCGTCCCATCTATCGCCCCTCCACAGTTAGGGAACCCCATTTGTGCAAAGCCATCCACTATTTCCTGCACGTTACCCAGAGTCACGGTTCTTCTGAGTAGGATGCAATTAATGGCCTTGCAAACTTGCATCAACACGATTCTGACGGTCGACTTTCCCACTCCAAACTGGTTTGCGACTGACCGGTAGCTGTCTGGAGTTGCCAGCTTCCAGATTGCAATAGCCACCCGCTTCTCCACTGGCAGGGCAGCCCTCAATCTCGTGTCCTTGCGCCGCAGGGTGGGGGCAAGCTCCTCACACAGTCCCATGAAAGTGGCTTTCTCATCCGAAAGTTCTGCAGCCACTGCTCGTCATCCCAGACTTCCATGCCGATGTGCTCCCACCACTCGGTGCTTGTTTCCCGAACCCAAAAGTGGTGTTCCACGGTGCTACGCATGTCCGTGAATGCCACAAGCAATTTTGTGTCGTACGCGTTACGCGACTCGATAGCATCGTCGGAATCCTCACCCTCACTCTCACTGTCACTTTGGATCTTAAGCAACAGTTCGATAGCCAAACGTGACGTGCTGGCAAGATTTGTCAGCATACGCCTCAGACTCCATTTCCCGCAGACAGATCGCGCTGCACAGAAACCGTTGAAAGATGGCGCCAAAAGTGGACGGAAACAAAGGGATTTCCGGGATATGAAGCGATGCATCACGGGGCATTGGGACAGGACCTAGAATCCCCTGCACCCACGCCCCCTTCCCACAACCCACGGCGCCAGAATGGGAAAAGGTACTCTGTGGGATAGCTGCCCATAATGCACCGCTCCCAATAGTGCTGCAATTGCCGCAAATGTGGCCACGATAGTGCGCTGGGCAGCTGTCAGTGTGGACAGACTGCAGCGCTCTCCCTACTCAGCTGCACGAAGTCAGGTTTAACTCACAGCGCTGTACATCTGCAAGTGTAGCCAAGGCCATAGAAAGATTAGATTGAAACCTATTGTTTTTGAAAGTAGAATGGTCTTTAGAAAGTAGGTGCCTATGGGCTTGTCTACACAGGAAAGTTATACCTGTTTAAGGTAATTGTGAACTTTTAACTGATATAACTTCCCATGTGGACATTTTTATTTCAATGTAAGAGTGCCTTTTTCCAGTTTTGATTGTGTTGCTTTGGAAGCAGTTTAAGCTAAGCTGAATAAAACCACTCTTATTCTGAAATAAGAGTGGTCACATAGAGAGTTTTATAAGAATAACTACATCAGTTTAACTATACCAATATAACTACACTAGTATAACTGGAAAAATGTCTTTTATAAATAAGCCCTGTGTAACCTACCTTTTGTTAGACCCCAAGTGGTCTTTCACCTTGCTGAGGTAGGATTTTTTGAGTCCTTGGCTAATCACATTTTCCCACAATAGGACTTTATGTTGTATAGTCGGGGTATGATTGAAACAGAGATCAGAGCTGGGACAGTGCATGTAAAGCAAGATTCAGAGGCAGGGAGAGCTTGGCTACAGGTGCTGAGACCAGTGTATGTTTTGGCTGACTTTTGAGAAAAACAGACCTGTCTACATGAGACTTTGCTGTTGCTTTTACCATCTGTGTTCAAGGTGAATAGGAATTTGTGTACACACTGTGAACCACATGGACTGCAGCAATATCCTCAATCTCTGCCTTAGTCATTTCCTCTCAACATGAGAATCAACCCATCTGAGACAGCCAGACCACTTAGAAGCTGGGGCAGCATGTAACACGTAACTGGGTTGACCCAAATATTTCCAAGAACAATTTTACATATTGTAAGTTACAGTAATATGATGATAATTTATGAGGGAAAGGAAGAAGAAAAGAGTGTTTCGGTGTCCTATCTAAACAAAACATCACTACAACAATGTAACTGCAGGACCAGATTAATGGCACAGCCCATATAGCCATTTCCTCCCTCCTATATGGTAGGGAGTTCTGACCACTAATGATTAGACCAGGGGTGGGCAAACTTTTTGGCCTGAGGGCCGCATCGGGTTTCGTAAATTGTATGGAGGGCCAGTTAGGGGAAGGGGTCGTGGCCCGGTCGTTACCTCCTATCTGCCCCCTCAGGACTCCTGCCCCATCCAACCCCACCTGTTCCCTGACTGCCCCCGGACCCCTGCCGCCCCATCCAACCCCATCTCTCATTCCTGACACACATACCACGGGACTCCTGCCCCATCCAACCACCCCTTCTCCCTGTCCCCTCACTGCCCCTGACTACCCCTTGCCGCCCCATCCAAACCCCCTCCTTCCTGACTGCCCCCCTGGAACCTCTGCCCCTATTGAACCCCCCTGTTCACCCCCGACCGCCCCACCCCCTCACCACCCCCCAAACTCCCCTGCCCTCTATCCAACCCCTCTCCCCCAGCTCCCTGCCCCCTTCCCACGCTGCCTGGAGCACCGGTGGCTGGCAGTGCTACAGCCGCGCCACCCGGCTGGAGCTGGGCCACACCGCTGCCACTGACACCTTGCAGCACAGAGACCGGGTCAGGCCCGGCTCTGCAGCTGCGCTGTCCCAGGAGCTGAGGCTGCGGGGGAGGGGAACAGTAGGGGAGGGGCTGGGGGCTAGCCTCCCGGGCCAGGAGCTTGGGGGCCGGGCAGGACGGTCCCACGGGCTGTAGTTTGCCCACCTCTGGATTAGACCATATAAACATTAGTATAAGGGGGAAAAACGGAAGGTAAACAATTACAAAATACTGTAAAATGTAAGGATCTGATTAAAACACATAATCAAAGGAATCTAGAGCTAAGGCAGAAACTCTATTCCAAATTAAGTTAACTCTGCTGTTATGTTGAGGGTTAGCTAATGCCTCCAAAGAGTGGCTGATCTTACTAAAAGCCATGTTTTGTCCTCAGATAGAGGTGCCAGGGGCTCCCAGTGAGTTCAAGGTGGCCAAAGCAAGGCTATGGCCCTATAAAGGTTGAGGATGGAGCTATGATATATTTGGGAATAGTTTTCTCTCTTTTCTCCTTGATTTTACTCCCCATTCCTACTTAATACACTTCATCATGATCAAAACTAACTGGAATTACTGCTCTTGATTGCAGCATTCTTAACTTCAGTGTGTTGCTGAGCCACAAAATCAGAGCAAAGGGCCACTTTGGTAATATTACATTTTGTAATCAGTCCAAATAGGATTTTCACATTTTAAAGTATTACCAATTTTTATTATTAGCCCTGTTTCTTGCCCCTCCATTTCATTCCTTTATTAACAACAAGCATCTGAATTCCCAGATGATGATATCACAGCTCGTCCTCCAGCTGGCAGGGCTCATGTTTTGATAGATACTGCCCTGCCCCCAGAAATGAAGGGAGCCAGGACATTTGTGATATACCTAGACTGTCTGGCAAAAGGATGGTATCAAAAGTTATTGATCACCTAAAATACTCTAGGAACATATGTTCTAAACTTGCAGGGTCATAACTAGAAGTCAGAGGGTTGTGACCACCCTGACCTTCACATATTGCTAAGGGAAGGAGCTCTGTACTGAAAAGGTTGAGAACCCTTGTTCTAGAGCATGTGCAGACCCATGGCTCCACAATTAATTCTTATAGGCCCCATTTCAGGACAGCACGTGTTTAAATCTCATTGAAGTCAATAGGGTTTAAGCATGAATTTAGAAGTTAAGCTTGTGCTTAAGTGCTTTCCTGAATCAGAGTCTGGTGATGAACCAGGTTCAACAGTAACTCAAAGATTATCTCTTCTTGACCCATCTAAGGAAGGGGAGCATCTCAGACGTGATATTCTTAACATCCAAGATTGGCGAGTGTTTCAGACTGCACCACTCTCAACAGTAATTGAAATAGAACATATGCTGACAGGTAGAGGATTCCCATTGGTACTCTGGTGAGGAGGAGAAAGTGATGTTTGGAAGTCTGGAATCTGCCACAAAAGCAACCAAAGACAAACATACTAATTCCAAATTAAAAACAGTCATTTTCATTAATTTGGATCTGATCATCTGCCTCAGAAACAGGAAACAGAATCTTACTATGAATTCTACTCTTACGGTCTATCTGGTCTGCAAACACCTCTCCATAGATCATCCAGTAGGGCATATAGAAGATGTTGCGAGCTAGTCTCCAAGAGGGCTCCTCATCTGGGTGCAGGATAGCTTGGCGGGCTACTCCAAAACTCATCAGAACCACAAGCATGATGACCACAAAGTACAGCATGTCAATCATCTGGACAGAGGGACCATACAAATATTTTTGTCATAATCAGAGGTTACATACATGAAAGAACGTGTGTAGGAGAGCGTGTGCAGGAAAACCACCAAGAAAGATTCATGAGAATAAAAAAAAAATCCCCCAAACTAGTTGTTTCTCAGATATTATTATGCTGGTACAAATACCGCTCATGAGCTGAAAACATATAAAGTGTAAAAAAACCAGCACCCAAGATCCATTTAAACAGGTAATTTGTTTTTCGACTAAAAGAACTATCAGACTATATGGCTTTACAGACCAGATTCCCCCTGCATTAGGGACACTTTACCCTGCCCTGCCAAGCCAAGAGACCTCTCAAAATATAATTGGCCCCAGTGTTAACTACTAGATTAGAAAGCATACTTGTGCCCTGGCAATCTCTTGCTGCTGTAATGGCCCTTGGGCAGAAGTCAGTCAGTTCAAATCAGAGCAGCCTTCAGGGTCCCAGGATCTGGGATCACCTAAAATACTCTAGGAACATATGTTCTAAACTTGCAGGGTCATAACCAGAAGTCAGGGGGTTTGCAGCACCTCTCCTGAGTAAGATTGTGTGCTCCTCAGTTGCAGTGGAGGTTCTGAGCCTACGAACTTTTCTATGCCTTGCATGGTATGGTGTACATTTATGGTGCCATGAAAATGTATAACGACAGCAATGACAATAGCAGCAAATAAATAACGTACTTATGTTCGGAAAGAGAAAGCAGAGTGAGCATCTTCATATAAGTGCTTGGGCCAGTGACAAGAGTATATATTTGAACTCTTTCTAGCCATACTTTCCCTGAACACACAGGCAGCGACATGTTGGACAGTGGCTCTTGTAAAAATTCTGCTACTGACTTGAAGGGAAGAAATACGATGACTTCTCTGCTGTTGGTGGTGCTTTCCTTCTCTGTTTGCTACTAAGTCACCTCTGCGCGAGAGGCTCCCATACAAACACTTCTGAAGAGCAACATTTTGACTTTGGAATGCACCAACGTATTTTCATCTCTGAGTGCTAAAAGAAGGGCCTCATCTCTCTCAAGTTGAATACTCCCTCGTATCATCAATATATACTCAATAGATTTTTTAGGAACAGAGGGCAACATTTTCATAGTCACCTAAGTGATCTAGGAGCCTGAAACCCAAAATGCATATGTTCCAGCACAGTTCACCTTAACAGAAGTCTGTGTTGTAGTTTCACCTCCTTTCTTAGGCTTGGTCTACACTAACCCCCCAAATCGAACTAAGGTACGCAACTTCAGCTACGTGAATAACGTAGCTGAAGTTCGAAGTACCTTAGTTCAATCTTACCTCGGTCCACACGCGGCAGGCAGGCTCCCCCGTCGACTCCGCGGTACTCCTCTCGTCTAGCTGGAGTACCGCAGTCGACGACGAGCACTTCCGGGTTCGACTTATCGTGTCCAGACAAGACGCGATAAGTCGAACCCAGAAGTTCGATTGCCAGCCGCCGAACTAGCGGCTGGGTATAGACGTACCCCTAGTTACAGTTATATTCAATTAAATGTAAAATCAAGTGGACTCCCCAGAGCCGCTCCCCTCCTCCTTATGAGTACGTGCATCCTTGGTATACTGGGTTTATTGTATGCTAAGGAGGATAATTTTATGGGAGCTTATTGTTACAATATTGGCAGCACAAAGCTCCAAATATATTAGTTCCATTAACTGGAAGTGGGTTTAATACTATGCTTTGATGGAGGAAAGCCAGTTTGGCTTTGATATTAAGAACCACAAGCTCTGGGCAACCACAATTCTAACTGAAGTCAATGGGAGTTGAAGATCCTAAAAGGGCCTCTGAGAATCAGACTCTAAGCTTATAAATTTTAAATCCCACTTTTCTGAAGGGAAATACCCTAAAATGGTTCACTGAGACTCATACTGAGATTAAGTAGACTATTCTGAAGAGACTTCAATAGGACAGAAAAACAGGGTGTTAAGATACAGGGTACTGAAATAGTTTGAGAAAAATTCTCTCTTGAATTAAGGTTATTATTAGTATATCCAAAATATCTGTGGGCGAATGTAATTCATGAGTCAAGATTAAGAGCCCCATTCTGCAGCCCTTATTCACAGACCAAATCAGTTGAGCAACAGTTGCAGGATTGGTATCTAGAAGAAGAAATGATTTTACTTTCCCAAATCTGCTTTCTTACATAGTTTAAGATGCATCCTTAAAGCAAGCCTCTAGCTACAGAGGTACTAACCATTTTTCCAATCATCATGACATAGGGTCCCAAATACTTGTTCACACCAAAGATATCCAGTACTCGAATGTACCAGAAAATGATATCCACACAGTAGATTACTCTTCCATAACCCATGTAAGGCTGGTTCTGTAGGCGAAGAATTGCTCCAATTATAAATACTGAAATAGCCACCATATCAGTGATATTCCAGTATTCCTGCAGCCAGACTTTTATTTTCTGGCTCAGCTTGCCTGGCTCCGACATCAGAATCTAAAAGCAAAGGGAAAAAATCCTGAAGAAAAACTGTGGAGTGCATTTTTAAAATAATGGCGGTGAGACCGAGGGCAGACTGACTGGGTGTAATGGGTTTCATGAGAACTACTTACGTGTTGAGCAGAATTTGCTCCTGCAGCAGAGCACATCGCTGCTTACAGACGCCATTTAATTTTTCTATTTTGACCCAACTTTCGTTTAACCGTAGGATTTCATCATTGTCACTTAATTCACCGGCTGTGGCCCATTAACTTTTTGTCCACGTTTATGTCCAAATCAAAATTATATGAGGTGTTTATTTTAGGAACATGGTGGGTCGGTGGGGAAACAGACTGGGAGGGAACTACAGTGGGGTGAATTGATTTGGCAGTGAGGTTTTTGTGCTGTGCTACCAATCTGTAAGAGCTGAGATGATAATGAATTAAATACTACTGCGAATTTACATATAAAACACGTTCCTCCCTCCCAACCTCTTCATCATACACCATAACTGATCAATGCAACATACATAAATTGTGCATAACAGGAGGCTATTTAGGGATTATATCCTCATGCCCACCCAGGGAAATACATGTAAGAAAGGGGCAGTGAATTCAGAAAACTGCAAAAATGACCTAAAGGAATTTTTGACTGCTCTTTTGCTCAGGCAGGAGGGTTCTGAGAGCCCTGGAGTGGGTAGTAGTTGAAATCCCCCGGCACTGGTATGCATCTGGCAGGGAAGGGAATCTCCTGCCTCCTGTAAGGCTTGCCTGTCTACACTACTCCTCCAGCCCCCATTCACCATTTATTTATAAATGGCAAGTTCTTCCCCATGATAATGTAAAATAGCAGTTATTGGTGTGATTCACATTACCTCTCTTACTTTCTCTAAAGCCAGAGTCACAATATAGGAGATGACAATCCATTCCTGGAGTGAGGGCCAGCGGTCCATCCGCACCAAGATTATATAATTGAACAGCATTAAGTAACCCAGGTATGATATCTGGAAAAAAGAATCCTTTATGTCCATGGACTCTAGGCATTAGTGTGCAGGGCTGTTACACAGTAACTGCTTTGTCTATGGCTGCATAGACAGCATTTAGTTACTTGAGATCCTTCCAAAATTTGTACACAAAGTCATTTGCAGCAAGTTTAAATGTATAAAGTACAGAACATAAGTGTAAATCAGCAGAAACATACCTAATATTCAGGAAAATATTCATAATTGTCCACTAATTTTGGATTTCAAGTTTCATAGATACCAAGGCCAGAAGGGACTATTGTGAGCATCTAGACCAGGGGTCGGCAACCTACGGCACGCGTGCCAAAGGTGGCATGCAAGCCGATTTTGCCTGGCACGCGGATGCCAGCCAGGGTCCCGGCCGCCGGCCCCGCTCAGTCCGCTGCCGGCTGAGTGAATGGAACCCCAGGCTGGCAGGAGGCTGAGCGGGGCCGGCGGCCGGGACCCCAGACCAGCGGCAGGTACGCCCCGGCTCCTCCCTCACCACGCTAGGGTGGGGGTGTGGATAAGGGTCGGGGCAGTCAGGGGACAGGTAGGGGGTAGGGTCCTAGGAGGGCAGTTAGGGTGGGGGGGGTCTCAGGAGGGGGCAGTCAGGGGACAAGGAACAGGGAGGCTTAGGTAAGGGGTGGGGTTCTGGGATGCAGCTAGGGATAGGAGTCCCAGGAGGGGGCAGTCAGGGGACAAGGAGCAGGGCTGGGGGTTCTGAGGGGGCAGTCAGGGGGTGGGAAGTGGGAGGGAGTGGATGGGGGCGGGGCTCTTCCCCCCCGTCCTCTCTTTTGATTGTTGAAATATGGTAACCCTAGGTGAGGGGGGAGCTGGGGGGGGGCGCATGGGGGCATTTTAATGTGTATTACCAGCACGCAAAACCTTAAATTAGAGTGAATAAATGAAGATTCAGCACACCACTTCTGAAAGGTTGCCGACCCCTGATCTAGACTGACCTCCTGTATAGCGCAGGCCATAGAATTTCCCCAAATAATTCCTAGAACAGATCTTTTAGAAAAGCATGCAATCTTGATTTAAAAATTGCCAGTGATGGAGAGTCCACCACAATCCTTGGTAAATTGTTCCAATGGTTAATTACTCACTGTTAAAAAATTACCTTATTTCCAGTCTAAATTTGTCTAGCTTCAACTTCCAGTCACTGGATCATGTTATACCTTTGTTTGCTAGATTGAAGAGACCATTATTAAATATTTGTTCCCTATGTAGGTATTTATAGACGGCAATCAAATCATCCCTTGGCCTTTTCTTGATGCTAGGGGCTAATTTTCAAAATATACTGAGTGCCTACAACAACTTTAATAAAAGTCAAATGGGGAAATACTGGCCACAGGTGTCACAAGCTGGAAGTCCAGAATGAGTGGAGACCTTTGAACTTTTTGGTATTTAAAAAATTAGATACAATAAAGCAGAACAGAAGATGGAAAAACAATTTAAAAGATTTTAACTATGTCTCCTTAAGTTTTAATGGGAGTTAGACCATGTGCGATGTGAATTTTGTTATGTGCTCACCTACGACGATGCTAGAAGCAATATAAATTCATAAGAGAAACAGATGCCAAGGCCAAAGTGTATTTTGTTTATACCGGTTCTTTAAACTATATATCAAGATGTTTTCCTATTATTTTGTTTTCAATTAATATAATGTAACAAATTGTTAATAATTAAAAGTCAAGATGACTCACTCACCGTGTAAAACCAGAACTTTACAATAGGTGCATTATAGAATTCATAGATCTTTTTTCCAATAGGAAGGCTCCGTTGCTTTTTGTTTCCATTCTCTTCATCTCCTTTTCGGGAGCCTGTATCAGCATTTGCATCCTGGAAGACAGAAACTGGCAGCTTGTCACCAATACAATGTCACCTATGAGAGGTTCTTTCAGTCATGATGCTCAATCATCTGTCAGCTACAGAAAGCTTCCTTCTGAACAATAGGACTCTATTCACTAATTATCCAGTTCCATTGCACTTTGAAAAATACAAGGTGAGGTTCTTAGCTGTTATAAATTGGCATACCTCCACTGACCTCAATACAGCTACATCAATTTACACTGGCTGATAATGTGGCCCATATATTCTCAGTACTATAACACACATGGATTTTTGTTTCTACACAGGCAGGAGGCATGGGAAATCTGCAGATTTCAATCTGAAGTGGCCAATGGCATAATTGTAGGCAAATTGATATTAAGTCTGCTGGAGAAGTTAACAACATTCTGATAAAGTATAGTACCAACCACATTTTCCTCCTCTTTTTCTTTGCCATCTTCATTTTCTCTTGATGTCTGATAGGAAAAATCATCAGAAGTGCGAAACTCTAGGAATAGGATGGTGGGTGGGAAGAGAATCCCCATTATAACCTGGGCAAGAAAAGAGGTATCAATTCAATGCATCATTGATTACGTCATTAGATTTTGTTTAAAACAACATTATTTCTTTTGTTGCCATCATTTCTCTGAATAACATTCAACATACAGGAAGCTACTGAATTAATTAATATTTACAAAGCACCAGTATTATGCATGGCACTATTTAGGGTGACCAGACAGCAAATGTGAAAAATCGGGACAGGGCTGGGGGGTAATAGGAGCCTATGTAAGAAAAAGACCTAAAAATTGGGACTGTCCCTATAAAATCGGGACATCTGGTCACCCTCACTATAATATATATTAACATATAACATGGAGCTTGCTCTGGAAGACTCATCTCGGTAGATACATTGCAATAAAACACACCAGAAGGTAAAAGTGTTGCAGGACACAGTTCAACAGCTCAATTCAGTGGAACAACACACAGCAGGATGGTGAAGGGAGCAGGGTTCTTACCAAAGCTTATAAATTATATTCTGATGTGAAACAGGTGGGTTCTCAGAAGAGTTTTGAAAGAATAAAAGGGGGAAACTTAGCAAACAACAACTGGGAAAGCTTTCTAAGCATGAGAGATAGCATGCAAGAAGGCACATAAGAAGAGTTGGAGAAGGAGATAAAAGGAATAGTGAGGTGAGGGAATGAGAATAGAAGGTTTGGGGGACATACAGGTGAGGAGGATAGAACTGGAAGGTAAGGGAAGGCTGAATTTTGCATGGAAGAGGAAGGGAGTCAGTGAATAGATTTAACAAGGGAGAGATGTGATCTGAAAGAAGGGCAAGGATCATGAGATATGACTCAAGATTTTGAGTAATTTAAGTTAGAGAGAAGTGGGAAAGTGGAAAGTGAGAGAGCTGAAGATGAGACAGGTCAAGGAGAGAGAAAAACAGAGAATGGATCAGGATGTTGGCAGAAGAAGAAAAATATAGATGGATTTTGTAGATGTTATGGTGTGAAAAATCAACTGGATTTGGTGATGACCTGGAAGTGAGAAAATGAGAGATGGGTTGGAGATGACAGGCCTACATGTGGAAGGCAGTTTTAACAATATAGGATGAGAGAAGGATTTCACCTGATAATAGCCCAGAAAATCATATATTATCCTCCTCACAAGCAACACTAAAACACTCCTCACACTGTGTGTATCACGTGTCTCCCCTTTGCCACACTTAACATTATTCATGTTTAGCAGTTATTCATTCTTTGAACCCATCCTTGAACAATCACCTGCCTCTCATCAATGGAAAGACAGAGAAATCAGCAGAACAAGTGTTCAAGCCCTCAAAACAAGAAAAGATTCTTTCTTAAAAAATGTGTTTTTTTCCCCACCATTCTACTCTATACTATTCTACATAGGTTCTTATTCCACCCTTTTCACTGTACTATCTGAGCTCCTTCCAGTACTGCATTAAGAGATGTGACTAGCATCTGTCACATGTGGTTTGTTCTCTCTCTCATCCTTTATTTTGTGCCCTTCACCACAGTAGTATCTGAACATGATGAATGTCTTTTAGCTTCTCATGTAATATAACTAATTTTCATGGCTGGGGTATAAACTTAAATGAACACTTTTGTCATTTATCTGGCTTTGCTTCCAGATTTAAAGCATACTAAGCCTTTTATTGCCTTCTACACCCACTCACCCACACTATAATTAGGGGGCTGAATGGTTATATGAATAAATATACTAAATATGATACAATACTATATGCCTTAGCTGTATCTTTAACATCAGTGCTAAGGAAATCACTGCAATTGTGTAGAAGAAATACCTTAAGGCCTGGGTTTTTCCGCATGCGTAGCCGCCCCATCCACATGTCTGTTAATAACATCTGGCTGCAGGTGTGAGCTATGAAGTCCCTGTGTTTAGCTGCCACAGCAAGTTTTAGGCAGGTGGAGTTACTCCAATTTTTCAGTTCATAGGTCAGTAATTTCATGGCAATCTGTTCATCATGTTTATAGGATTGATCTAACAACTCAACAGCCAGCTGGCCAAAATCTCTGAAGAAAAGGAGACATGCAAAAAGAATCTAATGAACTTTGCTTAAAAATTGTAGTGTTCCCTTAAATTTGATTGTCAACTCTTTCGGGCTGGGACAGTGTTTTCCCATGTCTTTGTACAGCATCAAGCACAACTGGGCCTCAAACATGATTTGTGCTAGCATGCAAAAGCTCCACACACAAATAAATATAAAAGATAATTAACTTTGGTGCTTAAGAAGCTAGTGACTAGAAATGTCATTATTGCTTGTAAAATATTTTTCATCCTTTGATTACAGGCACTATAGAAGTTGTAATTGTCATTTTGTAAACTTCTAACATTCTAAGGACAATTATAATAAAGCCAATTACGTTTGAAAGTTTTGAAGAAATTTGTTTAAAACTAAAAAAGCAATAAGGCACAGAGACTAACAAACTGAAGTAGAGTGCATAGAGTAACATGTAATTTTCATTCCCTTTAAACTTATTTTTATTTTTAATCACCTTTCTTCAAACATGTCAACTTCTTTCACAGCTCTTGTGACACTGTTTGTGATAAAACTTACTTAGTAGACTGAAATTTACCTCTTCAGAGAATTCATGTACATCAGTTAATCCTGACCTAGTGAGGTAAGCTAGTTTTATTTTATAAAGGAGGAAACTGAGGCAGAGAGGTTAAGCAATTTTCCTAAGGCCACAGAGAGACTCCAAGATGTGATAACTCAAAAGTTCCTGCCTCCCAGTCTTGTACGTATAGCCTCAAACTTCATAGATGAAAAAAGTTGGTCAGAAAAATGGGCCAAACAATCATCCCTGTGACCCACCATCTTAGAAATTAATTGTAATTGCTCAAAAATAACTTTGAGCAGTCCATATGGCCCCATATATACAAATTAGCCATGCACTATGCTCCAATTAACTAACTTTGAGTTGTTGTCCAAATCCTGAGAGATGTCATCCACCAGTTCACTCTCTGAAGACTCATGGGCCATGGATTTGTACAGTTTACATGCCACAAGTGCTTTGGCCATGGTCTCCTCCCCTCGCTGCCAAAGAAAGAGTGCCATCTTCTGCCGTTTCATCAGCACTGCCCATACCATGAGTTCATGAAATGGGTACTGAAAGCGGCTGACTTCTGGGTCATCCACATCGATATCTATCTCTTCCTCCTTTTTCTTTTTTTCTTCTTTTTCCCTTTGGTTGGAGGCTCATCGTCCTAAAGGAAAGCAAAACAAAATGCTTGCCACTGAATTCTGAAAGCTATTGTGAGACCTACTCCATGCACAAAGAACATGTGGAGATGACTACTGGCATTTCCAAAAGAAAATGTGAACTTCCCATTAATAAGCAGCCTACATTCATTGAATTACATCATGTTTTGTAGTGTGGTTTCTGAGTTGTTTCTATAAAGAATGTCAACAACAAAATAATGAAATAATACCTTATCAACAGATCATGCATGGGGTTAGCACTCCTGCGTTAACATTTTGGTCACAGAACCATTACTTTCATGCTTCATTATGAGTCACTAGTGTTCTATACATACAGTAGAACCCTATTATAATAAAGTCATCACTTTACATAGACCAGCTATAGTATAAGCGGAGTTGTACTGCATGTGTTATTGCACTGGTTGCTTTGCAGTAAACTGAAACAACTTAGGACTTTTCTTCTATTGAATTGTCAATGGAGCTTCACTATAAGTAGGTTACACTGTAGTCTCTGATTTGATATGGTCTATCTCTATTCTTGCAGAATAATGCTTCATATCAGGCATCAAAGCAATTTTTAAACCAACATGCAGATGAAGAGAAGGGAAAACAGGCAAAGGGAAAAGGCAGGTAAACAGAATCCTTAGGAACAGAGTTAAGATACTAAAGGGAATGTTCACCTTTGAATAAGGAATCTCCTCGTATGTATGCAGTACAAACTGAAGGTATAACTATCCCATTTCCTAAAAGGATAAGGAGGATAGGCCATTACTACAGGAACCAACATGGAAGTAACTGAAGGGAGATACAGACAATGGAGCAGGATCCTAAAGAGAGAAAAGCCACGATTGGGAAAATTAGGGTTTAAACAATGTAGGAAGAATACTGCATATATAGATAGAGCTATTGATAATTTGTAGGGCTTGATTCCACTATCAGAGATGGAGTGCGAGTAGTGGTGATAAACACTTTATAACATCAATCCTTGTGCATGCAAAGTGCACTAGATTCTTTTAAGGAAGTATGCAGCAGCATGAGCTATATATGAGAGTTCAGAATTAAGTTTTAGAACCTGAGATTCCAAGCAGAAGTCTTCACTTATTCCTTAAATACATCTCACTTCTTCCTACTTTCCAACAATTTCAGGAAGGGAGAAGTGGTGCTTATAGAAATTGCAGTGGTCATTATTCACATGCATTTAGAAAAAATGTTATCTGTCTTTCAAGAAAAAGGCTGTGCATACACATGCAAGTGTAATTTCAAATCAGAAGATGAGAATTGCATTTTTTTGCAGAAAAGAACAAGCGATGATTGCAAAATGCCAAATAATTTATAGTTAGCAGTAAAGAAAATAAAAAAAACTGGAAATGAAGAAAGTTTAATATTCCCTCTTCTTTCTGCATGAGCACAAAAGCTTTCTTACTTCTTTGGAATTCTTTTTAAAAGTTAGTTTTATTTTTCACCATTTCTTTTCTTTTAGATAGACAGAACTGCACCCACTGCAAGATGGAGAAAACAGAGTTAAACTTTAAAATACTTCAATTTCTTCTGTGTAAAGCATTTGCCACTGAAGGAAAGCATAAAAACATCCAAAAGTGTTCTTGGAAAATACCGAGTAACCTGCATATGAATAAGGCCACATATCTCAGAGCTCAACTCCTCTGTATATAAATGAGACCACATCTCTTCAGCTCTTGTTTCCTCCCATCTGTAACCTGAGCACTTTGCCCTAAAGCTGTTAGAAAATATGAAGTAGATCTGAGAGGAAAATTAAGTTTCCTTTACACTTCCTTCATACAGGGAAAAGCTGCTTATCCGCTTTGGAAAACATAGGCCTTTGTGCGTATATATTTTACAATTGACTTTAGCTTCGACATAAAACTCTATTCACTAGGGTTGCCAATTTTGGTTGGATGTATTCCTGGAGATTTCATCACATGACATAATCGTTAATAAAAGATTAATCTTTAATTCCTGGAGACTTCAGGGAAATCCTGGAGGGTTGGCAACCCTACTATTCACTCAGTGATAATACAAGCTTACGTATATGCTTCATATACAGAAGTCCCTAATCTTTTCATGTACCAAGTATCTAACTGGTATGTTCTAAGGTATCAATTAGAAATGGTTAGCTCTGCCTTCAGATCAGATACTGAGCTCTCCCAAAGTTTGTTGGAATCTGAACCAGGGTTCTAGTTTGGGCCCATGGGAGAGACAGGCCCCAGGTACAACATTTGGATCCAAATCTAAACTTCCCTGAAGTTCTGGGGTGGTTGGGACAGGGCTCAGACCTGGGATTCTGGTTCAGGTCCATCTCATCTCTGGGCTGTTTACTACAGAGCAATGCTGATATGCTCTGAAATAATCAGCTACGTTTTACAATGGAAGAAAATAACTAACATAACACTTAGTTAACTTGACTGAAAAAGCAATTTCCCTCTCTGACCTATCTAAGGCTATGTCTACGCTAAATCCACATGTAAGGATATAAGTACAGATGCAGCGGGTCCAGATAGCGCATTTATAAACAGCAGTGTAGATGTGAGACATGGCTTAGGTGAGAAGAGCAAAGTGCCCTGCATGTCTTAACCCCCAGGGTACATACCCTGCATGGCTCTCTACATGCCCAAACAGTGCCTCCCACATGTATGCTGTTATCTTTAGCACCATAGCATCTCACTGCCTCTCCCCTGCGAGAGCCTTTCCTTCCCACTGCCGGAGCCTTTCACTGCACTGCGAAGCTACACACCACAGTGACAAGTGTGGACGCAGTCTGCCTTTCACTGTGGCGGGTAGCTACACATGTAGTGCCTGTACTTTACATGCTGCTATAGGTGTAGACATAGCCTAAATCTTCCATGCATAAACTGCATTTTAAATATAAAGAGGATTTGACCATAAATTATTCAGCTGCTGTATTCTCTCTCATCACTATGTTCTCTGTGTTCATATCTAAAATTGTTTTAGCTACAGTATTTTCCAACACTGGAGTGTGTTATTACATAATACTGCTAAAAACTGCTTGAGGATTATGTGAGCAAAGCTCTATGCAGAACTCAAGACCTTAAATATAAAGCAGGTTGCTGGTGTTTCAAAAGTAATCTGTAAAATAGAAGATCCCAGTCAGATACAATTTATATTAAATCAGTGTAAAACTGAGAAAGCTCAGAATGATGCAGAAAGGTGTTTTTCCTAGTTATATGAAAAAAACCAAAACCCAACTTACCTCCATTCCTAAAAGTTTAAGAGCTTTTGGCTGCATATTTAAAAGAAAAAGAAAAAAAATCTAGTTAGATGGAGGGGAAAATGCAAAGATGTAAGAGTGCCAAAGAAAGTAATTTTTTCATTTGCATAAATAAGAACATTATTTGTCTAATAGCTGTAACTCTATTTTGGAAGGGAAAAAAAAGTTTCTTATCCTGCCTCCGCCCCCCCCCCCCCAAATCATCCTTTGACTCTGATACCAAAAAAAGACCACTTTTGAATTAAAAAGAAACGAAACCAAACCCATTTAATCAGAGGCATTTATGAGAAATGAGAAACAAGCCCTTGGTGAAACCTGTTTTCCTATTTTTTGCGCCTTAGAAATTAGAATCTTTATTCTATTACATTTTCTTAAAATGACTCCTCTTTATATTCCATTAGCTTCATGATCAATGCTATAGTCTGGCAAGAGAACAGTTTATTTTGGGTAATAAGCCCTTATTCTTGGAAGCAATCTTTTACAGGATATTTGCAAAGTGGTTCCTCTTCTGAGGCAGCTCCTTTGTCTTACCTGGATTGGGCCCATGGATTATTACAATTACTTGCTCACTGAGCTTTAGTTTATCCCTGTGTTTTTTATATAACTATTTCATGCAGTTACAATAACTTTAGAAGGTCATGCTCACAAATTAAAGCTAGGAATGGCTAAACATACATAACACACAGTTAGAAATACTTGGATTGTTAACTACCAAGAAGTGTGGAAAGCACACACTTGCACAACATATTTAGCACATATTGGGACCCTGAGTCTTTACTCTTCAGCTCAGATATTTTGCATTATCCTCATATTAACTCCACAGGCTGTTAAATGATGATCAAGTGGACACACAGTAGTTCACACAAGATTCAACCAGTGGAGAATTAGTTATTTTGATTATTAGCACTACAACATTAACTCATTCTTACCCTCTTTGGTCCAAATAAATTATTGTAAAGGGTCCGAAAACTTTTTCGAGTATAGTTGCAGCGATAAGCTCCACCCATGAGGTATTCAAGTACAAGACCAATATCTATCAGGCTGATATGATAATCGGGTGGAAGATTTCCCTACAAAATACAAAGTGTATTTTTAGGATATAAAACAACAATAAAGCATATACAGAGACTTGCCCTGGCTATATACAATATGACACATTTATACTCATACTTGGTAGACATTAATATTTTATTCATTATTAATATATCCATCCAGGGAAAATTTTTTACTTGAGGCCAAATTCTCCTTTGGGGAGCTGTCTGTGTATTCAAGGGTAGAATTTCAGCAGTGGTTGTTGGTAACATATATATCAGTACAGAGTTATTTGCAGCAGTTAAATAATATGTAATGGAACTATAAATGTATTAGGGAAGGGAAGAAGACAAGAGCTTTATAGTTTTTAATATATTTCTGTTAAAATGGATACAATCTTATTATTTTTAATAAATAATTGCAGCTGAAGATTTATACACATTCTGTTGGCTATGTGCTCCATGGACATTTGATTTAATTTCATAGGTTTTCATTTTATAGATAACTTGCTTAATTTTAGTGTGGCTATCTCATGGCTGAAAGATTAAAGTAATGACCAGTCTTACTAGAGGTACGCGCTGCTGATAAATTCATTTGAAACCGTTTTTAATTCAAAAATAAAAATCAAGTGTTTATAATAGCCATGAGGCTTGGTTCTGCAGAACCTGACTGATGAAAGTACTCTTCACATGCACGAGTAGTTCCTCTGAAATCAATGGGACTGCTCGTGGGAGACAGGGCTTGCAGGATGGCCCCCAGTGGCTTTGAGTTCTTTGAACTGAATTAATAACATCACATTCCATGTCTGAATGGGATTTCGATCTGCATATTAATCTGAACAGCTTTGTCTATTTTAAGGTTTTATTAATGCAAGAATTAATTTTGCTTTTGAGATGGTTTAAAGCTGGCTTTTTGTATAATGGAGTGGGTGGTTTTTTTTCCTGTACCCCTTAATAAAAATCAAAACAAGCATTCTATTACTATAACATTTCCACTAATACACTGCTTGAATACTTATGATCTGTGCAATAATTTAGTGAGATATCATTATACTGCTCATACGCCAAATGTATACATATTATCACTAATAATTTTATAAACAATTTTAATAAATTTGATAAACTATAAATATACTATGCTACTAAGTATATCCAGTTATAGAACATTATAGTACTTGCAAACTCTATAGTATACTAGGTGCTCAGATTCCTTGGTGATGAGCATGGTATAAGAACCTGAATATAAACAGATAACTCCTATATTTAATTTACTCAACCTCAAAATGTGAGTCTCTGTTTTAAAATAAAAAGTGACAATTACAAATTAAAAGGGGATTGCAAATTGTGTGATTCCTCAGAGAAATCAAAGAGAAAATTATCTGAATTGGACAGTATAATGTGTCCTTAAGATAAATATAATCATTCAATGGACTTTAGATAAGTCCCCAAACAAAGTCAATGGAAAGACTCCTATTGACTTCAGTAGACTTTGGATCAAGTCTATGATGAGAAATCGAACTACTAAATTACAATCTGTTTTAATTATTCTATTTATTTTAGGATAAGTCAGATTTGTTTATATTCCTTGCTTTTTAAAAAGAGAGCAATTATGTGTAGTATACTGATACAAGAGTTTCCTCCTGCTTGTGAAAGGGGTCAGAATAAACTGTAGCTTTTACTGTATTGATAACTTTTTTCCCCACCTCATTATTATCTACAATTCCCAGCCCATCATGTACAGGGAAATTTGGGTTAATCTGCAGTCTAAACTTGGTAAACAGGCAGGTTGTATCACCTATATTGTCATATTGTTAAAGATTGGTTGGACAGTTACATTAAATCTCCCAGAGCTGTGACTGAGCACTGTGTTTCACTGTTCTAACTGTATCCTTTGTTGCACATCACAGCAAGGTTTAGTCTAGAACACCACTTAGCAATAAACTATGATGAAAGAGCTACATTCTAGGGAAACAAATCACCTCCATGTTAACCCAACCAAATCCCCGAACTTGTCGCTGAATGAGAGTGAGCCATGGAAATGCGATGACCAGGAGGAGAAAGATGGACAGACAGATAGGAAAAATACACAGAAGAGAGTTAGTACCATTGGAAAATGTGAATAATGAAAAATTAGATAAGAATTAAACCCTGAGGTGTATCATTATCAGGGCCGGCTCCAGGCACGAGCTTGGCAAGCAGGTACGTGGGGCGGCCACTACAGAAAGGGGTGGCAGGTCCAGCTATTCGGCGGCAATTCGGCGGACGGTCCCTCACTCCCACTCGGAGCGAAGGACCTTCCGCCGAATTGCCACCGCAGATCGCGATCGCAGCTTTATTTATTTATTTATTTATTTGGCTGCTTGGGGCGGCCAAAACCCTGGAGCCGGCCCTGATCATTATGGATTATACATTGACCCAATCCTGCAAAACTTTCATGAGGAACTCTCACTGAAATCAGTTGAGTTTTTCCTTGCAACAGGAATGCAGGATATACTCTGGGTAGCAAAATAACACATGCAAAACCCATCAAATATAGTGAATTTAACACTATGCCTTACAATACATTTATATGCAGTAGATGGTAATGAATAACAGATTTATGATTTCTAACTCTGAAGAGTGGAAGTGACTTTCTCCCAGTGGAAGTGGTAGAAGTAACATTGCTTGGGAGTCTGAAAAACACACTAGTAAATACACAGAAAGGAACAATACTGCATTGGCGGGTGGATGGACTGGATAATGGAGTAGATATTTTCTCTAACTTCTGTTTCTGCAATTTTGCAAGGAAATATTTTTCCACTGTAATGTTGTATGTAAGCTTCTTTTGATATGTAAAGAAATTAAGTATATTTAAATCTGGTCTGAGTATCTTACACTACTAGTGATTTAACTTCCCTTTCCTTAAAAACTATAATTTAATTTCAAAGTTTTATTTTCCATCTACATTATGTTCACTTCCCCCACTGATTTGTACAATTAAAATAATCATGAAAATAAATCCCAATATCTGGAAATAATATAAAAACTTACCTTTTTCACATCCCTGACAAGCAAATGCAGTGTATTTGGTGGACCCAATCTCTGAAAGAGAGACCATTCATATTTTGTTAGGCCTTTAGTTCTTCCCCTTGATTAAAAAAAAAGTGTAGTTTCTGCAAAGCATTAGAAATTTGGATGTGAATTCCCAGAACGATCATTTGTTCATTATCTGAACAGCACATGATTATGTACTGTTTTCTTCACGGATAAAAAGATGGGAGGCATAACTGGCCAAAAGTAACAAGTCACTAATAGAGTTTACAGCCACCTTTGTGCTGCTATCAACCTAGGAACCCTGTGCAATGGTCCAGTCCTCAGATATACCTCCACAGGAGCCTTCAGGTTGCCTTAACTCGCACTGGCTGCCAACAGCTACAAGGTGCTGTAATCCCTGCTTGGGAATCGCAAGGTGCCTTGGCAGTGACCCTTTACCTTTGGCCACACCTCCCATACTAACAGCAGGGAGAGGTGATGGAGGAATAGTTTATGGCAGCTCTGTGCCTCTGCAGGATCTACTTCTGGGGGAATTCTGCACCAAAAATTAAATATTCTGCGCCCAATATTTTAAAATTCTGCATATTTTATTTGTGAAAATAACACAATATAATCATGCTAGTTTCAATTATTTTGTAATTTATTTCAAAGACCTGTCAGCAACTATGTCTATAACAATACAGACAACAAAAAATATTCAAGAAATGTTTTTTGACAAGTAGATTCCTTACTAGGAATGAATACAGAACTCTGAGTAATAATTCATTTAAACTACAATATGGAAATGTATTTCCTGCACCCCTAAGAAGCAGTGAAAAGGCTTGGGGAAGCCAGGGATAGTGGAGGAGCTGAGGGAAAGGGAAAAACTGCTGGGAAGGAGCCTGGGTGTGAACCTGGAGGGTTGTTGGGTATGGGTGGGAGAACAATGTAAAAGGTTTTTGGGAGAGGGAAGGGTTTGTTAGGGAGCCACCACCATGCAGACCCTGGATGACCCATAGTCTCTCTCATTTCGTCAGGCACATCTGCCCCTGTCCCCATGTATCCCCGCACCCCCCTCAGCCACTTTCCCCATCCCCATGTCTCCCTGTACCCCCACTAAGCCACCTCCTGTCCCCATGTGTCTCTGCACCCCCACTCCCATTCCGCCCCTGCCCAGTCTGTCACCCCCACTAGCCCTTCTGAACCCCAGTCTGTGACCCCCCAGCAGCCCCAGGTGCCCCATGCTGTCTGTGCCTCCATATCCCATGCCTCCTGATCTGCCCCCTGGGCAGGGTGCTGTGAGCAAGGCAACTTCTTTCTCTTTCCTATCCGGAGCTGGGGCTGCTCCTGCCCAGGAGCCACTGCTCTGTGTTCTGGTGCCACAGCGGCCCCTTGTGGACGAAAGGAGTAACTGCAGCACCTTTCCAGCAGAATGTATTTTTTGTGGAAAAAAATTCTGCACAGCACATGAATTCTGCACAGGAGTAAGGATCTACTGGGGTGTTCTGTCTGTGGGTTTGTGCAAAGGAGACTCTAGTCCCAAGCAGCCTATGTGTTATAAAAGAGGCAGCATGACCTAGTGGATAGTGCACTGGACTGGGATTCAGGAGAACTGGGTTTTATTCCCAGTTCTGCCACTGGCCCGCTGGGTGACCTTGGGCAGGTCACTTTGCCTCTGTGCCTTGGTTTCCCATTCTATAAGTGGGAATAATGATACTCAGCTCCAGGTGTAAAGTGCTTTGGGATTTATGGATGAGAGTTTCTATATAGCATTTTATTATTACAACAATAAAGGATAAAGAAATGAAAACTAACTGAGGATCAACAAGATTGTGTGTCACATCAGTGAACGAGTTAAGAATATGTAGGTAAAAAGCCACAGCTATTGGCTGATACTATGGTTTTAATGGCAATACTAGTTATTAAAGAGTTCTTAATATGCATTTTAAAAATACTTCACTATATTTACATGATAAACCATAAGATTGTCTAGAAGCTGCTCTAGGCTTAATCAAGATACTCTGTGTATCTTAAAGTATTATGAAGCCATGAGTTATTACAGTGACTCCCTCTAGTGATATGCACCTTTCGTGGACTGACAGTGTGCCCTGTTTTTTTTCCCTTCAATTGTTGAAGTATAAAGTGAAACCACCAGTTGGACAGTTTCTGTGCCAATTATTGGGGTGGGAGGAAGGGAGAAAGGAAAAGGTGTCATGCTGAACTCAACAGTGAGAGACGCAGCAGTTTATATCAGAATCACAGCTCACTCACAGTATTATAAAGCTCTTCTAGTCGAGGAATAGTGAGGAAGCGTTGCATGTTCACGCCATTTTCAATCAAAAGTTTCACAAAATCGACTCGATCCAGTACCAGGGCATCCAGCATAGCCTGCTCCAGGGAATTCACCTGAAAGTTGAGAACAGAGAACACAATGCAAACCCTGGGCAAGTAAGTCAGAGATGCTGCTCCAGCAACTGCTAAACAGAAGTTTTTTGGTTGTTTAATAAAGGAATTCACATGTGAATTTCAAGCTATGTTCAGTCATCTACATGTCAAACGTCATTTTGAAAAATGAGAATGTCCCCGAGAGGTGTTCCATGTATAGTTTAGATGTTGTGGTTTTTGTTTTTGTTTTTTGTTTTGGATGTGTCCTTAATGTTGAAGTAATGAGAGCAGTAAATGAAACCTTTAGGAACATGATTGTAACGTTCAGTACTTTTTATTTGGTATCTTATAGCTAAACCAAGTGAAATGACACATTATACGAAGAGGTGGGTTTGCTTGCTGTGTGTGATGGGAGCAGGTTAAATTTAAAAAGAATGAACTGCACAAACGTAAAGAGTGTTTTGTACCATAACAACCCACATAGGCAGCATCCATTCAACTGACAAGCTGTTGCCTCAAATAGAGAGAAGTGGCAATATGCACTGGCTCCGAACTTCTGAAAAAAAATCCCCAAGTTCTTGCTAGAAATATTGGTCAGAAAACATACAAGAGCTTCCCTTAATATGGCCAAACATGGGAACAACCTAATAGAATGTTCAACTTTAAAAAAAATTAAAATAAACCCATAGGAAATTCAAAACAAAAGAACTGTCTTCCTGTAAAATGTTAAGTCTTCCTCACTAATCACTGATGAGCTAGAAACATTCAAAGGAATACTTTTTTGTAAAGGAAAAACTATATATTTTTGCAGTCTTTCTGTTCCCAAATATGGTTTAATCACTTTGGTTCAAACCTTCCAAAACAATTCACTCCTGAACTGAAAACAAACCTGCCAAATTTCAGCCAGGAAGGAAAAAGACTGGAAAATGTAGAAGTATTAATAGCAACAGAAAATTACCACCTAAAATGGAAATGCTTGTGTGACCTTAGCTATAGGTAGATTGCATAGAAATATGTAATCTACCTAGCATTATGAAGACACTTATAAAATACATAAAAGTAGGGCTGTCGATTAATCGCAGTTAACTCATGCGATTAACTCCAAAAAATTAATCGCGATTAATTGCACTGTTAAACAATAGAATACCAATTGAAGTTTATTAAATATTTTTGGATGTTTTTCTACGTTTTTCAAATATATTGATTTCAATTACAACACAGAATATGAAGTGTACAGTGCTCACTTTATATTATTTTTGATGACAAACATTTGCACTGTAAAAATGATAAACAAAAGAAATAGTATTTTTCAATTCACCTCATACAAGTACTGTAGTGCAATCTCTTTATCGTGAAAGTGTCACTTAAAAAAGAATCTACATTTGTGTTACATAACTGCACTCAAAAACAAAACAATGTAAAACTTTAGAGCCTACAAGTCCACTCAGTCCTACTTTTTGTTCAGCCAATCGCTAAGACACAAAAGTTTGTTTACATTTATGGGAAATACTGCTGCCTGCTTCTTATTTAAAATGTCACCTGAAAGTGAGAACAGGTGTTTGCATGGCACTTTTATAGCCAGCGTCGCGAGGTATTTACGTGCCAGATATGCTAAACATTTGTATACTCCTTCATGCTTCAGCCACCATTCCAGAAGACATGCTTCCAGGCTGATGATGCTTGTTAAAAAAATAACACGTTAATTAAATTTGTGACTGAACTCCTTGGGGGAGAATTGTATGTCTCCTTTTCTGCTTTACCCACATTCTGCCATATATTTCATGTTATAGCAGTCTCGGATGATGACCCAGCACATATTCGTTTGAAGAACACTTTCATAGCAGATTTGACAAAATACAAAGAAGGTACCAATGTGAGATTTCTAAAAATAGTTACAACACTCGACCCAAGGTTTAAGAATCTGAAGTGCCATTCCAAAATCTGAGAGGGACGAGGTGTGGAGCATGCTTTCAGAAGTCTTAAAAAAGCAACACTCAGATGTGGAAACTACAGAAAAAAAAACCCTACAGAAAAAGAAAATCAACCTTCTGCTGGTGGCATCTGACTCAGATGATGAAAATTAACATGCGTCAGTCCACTCTGCTTTGGATCGTTATTGAACAGAACCCGTCATCAGCATGGACGCATGTCCTCTGAATGGTTGTTGAAGCATGAAGGGACATATGAAGCTTTAGCGCATCTGGCACATAAATATCTTGTGACGCCGGCTACAACAGTGCCATGTGAATGCCTGTTCTCACTTTCAGGTGACATTGTAAACAAGATGTGGGCAGCATTATCTCCTGCAAATAGTAACTAAACTTGTTTGTCTGAGCGACTGGCTGAAGAAGGACTGAGTGGACTTGTAGGCTCTAAAGTTTTACATAGTTTTATTTTTGAATGCATTTTTTTTGTACATAATTCTACATTTGTAAGTTCATCTTTCATTATAAATAGATTGCACTACAGTACTTGTATTAGGTGATTTGAAAAATACTATTTCTTTTGTTTTTTACAGTGCAAATATTTGTAATAAAAATAAATATAAAGTGAGCACTGAACACTTTGTATTCTGTGTTGTAATTGAAATCAATATATTTGAAAATGTGGAAAACATCCAAAAATATTTAAATAAATGGTATTCTATTCTTGTTTAACAGCGCGATTAATTACAATAAATTTTTTTAATCACTTGACAGCCCTACATAAAAGGTCTCCCATGCCTCAAAATATTCCAGGCATCAATATGTTCCTCACCAGAAGTTAATTCCTTTCATTCCAGGTGGGATTAATGTGTCTGTTTGCATCACTTCTAGGGCCTTGTAGAAGGTAACTCATTCTTTGATATATCTTTGGGGTAGGCCGGGTGTGTGCATATGTAAACTGAGAAGAACAGATTAGAGGGAGGATTCAAACGAGATAAAGAACAGAGCAGCAACTGGAAGAAAGCTGCCACTTTCACCTTACCCAGTTTAGTAGTTCAAGCTTCCGTGGATCTGTTTCTTCTTCCGGCTCTTCTTTCATTTTCCCTCCCTTTTTTTCCCTTTTCCTTTCCCTCTGGCTGCTTTAGTTTGAGCTGCTGGAGATTTCTTTTCCTTCTCAGGTGCTGTGCCATCAGTCACTGTAAGGCTTCCTAAAGGCTACATTTAATAATGCACAAATATTAAGATAATACAGTCAATTGTTTTGGCAATTGGAGGATTGTACATCAATAGAATGTTCTATTGAATCTTAATACCACCACTCTCTTTTACAGTGGTGCTATGTGTAACCTACCCTCACTCAGTGTGGCATGCTGTCCCCCTCTAGTGGTGGCTAGGCCACATATAGAGATTGATGAGCCTCATACAGCCTTAGCTAACAGATCTGGAACTTACAGCTTAGGCAGCGTAGAGGCTAATGCTTTAAGATCGAGACATCCCATGTTTGATCCCAGCTGCTCATGACTTACTCAGGAGCACAGAGTAACATATAAAGAAGAAAATGGAATAGGCAGAGAATTCACAGCTGAAAAGGCAACATCTAGTACACAATCGTTATCTGTAGTGGCAAATCTCTCAAAACACCAAGGCCCAAATTGGGACATAATGTGTGAGAAAGATCGAAAATGAGGAACACCACACTCAACAAATTCACGCAGGGATTCATTCCCTGAGTGCACTTATTCCATAACCATTTGCATGATTCTTTATCCCTGATATGAGCAACAACATTTCAAAGTGGGACAGCACCATATTTTTGTGGTAAGTAGTTAAGTCTGGGACTCAAGTGGATGTCTCAAAGTAAGGTACAACTGAGAGGTATGGTAAGATGCTGAGTATGAGCCTGGCACTTCACCTTCTTTCCACTTTTTAAACATATGTAGAGAAATAGTGGAATGTTAAAGTAAAAGCAACAAGCGGATAAGGAATAGAAGGGACAGTGTTAATAAGAATGCCACATGGCCATCAACTGACCTCTATATAGTCGTATGGGCTAAGGCCAAAGAGGGAAGATTGCAGTTAAGGGCTCATTTACATGCTAAGATCATGCTTATGTTCATGTCTCCTCAAATGTGCCTATTCTCCACTACCCCCTTCTCCATTTTAACCTGTGCTCTTGGGAGAAGGAAGGAAGGCACACTTGAGGCTAGAATTGGGCAAATAGCGAATTTTCAGTGAATCAGCAATTTCAAAAAGTTGGAAAAAGATGGAACAAAACATGTCATTTAGGCTTGGACCATTTAACATTTTTGAATTTTTAAAATAATTTCAAACTGAAAAAATCAATTTTTTCAAATTGTGTTTGTTTTTTTCTTAAACCAACAATTTGGTGAAACCAACTTGAATTCACAAGATGCTTCAATGTCACCAAATGTGCATTTTTCAATGAAAAAAAAGATTTGGCTGAAAATTTTTGAGACTACTTCCCCTCAGTTTGGACTGCTGCACCTAGCACTTAACTTGTCCTCATACATAACTTACACAAACATTTATGCTAGACCACAACAAATTGGTTCATTGTGCAGAGAACTGCAGGATCAAGGCCATACACGTTTGCTTAACAAAGCTTTCTTTTTTGCACAAGGTCCTCTCACACTATCCTACCATGAAAGCATTTACAAGTCAGGACAGAAATGGATCTGTAAACTCACAGCAAACACTACATCAAGCGCAATCTTTATTAATTTGAAATGACAATGAATTGTAATCGGCTCATGTAATTTCCACAAAGAGTTGAAGAGTACAAAGATGAAACTGGACAAAACAGCAGTAGGTTTTGCTTGCTCGTTGATGTTTTTTAATCTAAACACAATGTGGAGATTGGAACATTTCCTCCAGATAAATTGATTTATAATAATACTTATATTGTTTAGGATCCCTAAATCCTCTTTATGAAAATGTTTTTAATGGACCGTGAATATTGGAAACATCACATTGCTAACAGGGAAAGAATAAAATAGCGTATACAGGAAGGACTTTTGGTTAAATTTTTAATGACTGAGGTTTCTAAATGAAATTAACCTCAATGAAGCACATAGTGTGGATGTAAAGTATTTTACTGACCATTTTATTGTACGTCATTTCAAGAAAAACATCTAATTAAAAAAAAAAGAACCTTACTTAATTCTTATGGCCTATGTCATCGTGGTTCCTCAGAACACTTTGTAATCAGGAGCGGTGCCAGGGTTTTTGCCGCCTGAGCATTCAGGGGGCCTGGGGTCTTCGGCGGCGGGGGTCCTTCCGCTCCGCATCTTCGGGGCACTTCGGCGGTGCGTTCTGGAGCGAGTGAAGGACCCACCGCCGAATTTCCGCCATAGACCCGGAGCAGAAGGACCCCCTGCCGCCGAATTTCCGCTGAGGGCGGCAAAATGCTGCCCCTCAAATCCTGCCGCCCTAGGCGACCGCCTAGGGTCGCCTAGTGGAAGCGCCAGCCCTGTTTGTAATAATTTCATACCAGATGGTTCATGTAGTAAAGCAAAATGCACCAGCATATTGAGTCACCAAACTGGCTTAAAACAAGGTTTTTTTAGTTACATGAATGACTCTAGGGTAGAATTTTCAAAAGCACTCAAGTGTCTGATCTTCCCCCATTGAAATCAATGGGAGCTTTACCATTAACTTCAATGGGCGCAGTATCACACTTTAAAAATGATTTAAGAGCACAAGACCCATTTCAATGCCTTAGGCACTTCTGAAAATCTCACCCCTAGATTCATTTTGCATCATCTAATACACTAAGGGCCTGATATTCAGCATTGGTCTCTTTGTGGTCATGATTTTGTCCCATTAATTCAAACTGGGATTTTCAAAGGAGTCTCCTAGGTGCCTTTATAATTTCCAGCCCTACTGTGTAATTTATTAGAGTTAGACATCTAACCACCTGCTTGCACTCACCAGACAAGCAGCTGGAGGTCTAAGTAGTATTAATAGAACATGCAGTTCACTATGGGTGTGATGACTGGTTCTGATGAGGCCTGAGGCTTGGTCCACCCTACAGAGTTAGGTCGATGGAAGGCAGCTTATGTCGATCTAATTATGTCAGTGTACACACTACAGTCTTGCTCCCACTGATGTATGTGCCTATTACACTAACATAATAACTCCACCTCCATGAGAGGCATAGGGCTTATGTTGTGTAACAATGTAGTGTCCGTGTTGACCCTGAGTTACTTACATTGGCTGCTGGCTGTCATTCTTGTCAATTTCACGGCTCCACGCTGAAAGCCAAGCTGTCACCGCTGGGTGGATGAGGAGCTCCAGCTAGAGCCTGGCTGCCCCTCTGGGCACCTTGCCACAGCTGGGCTGTGCCCACCCAACTTGGAACCTGGCTGCCACCTGGAGACTCCCAGCTCCCAATGGGGAGCCGAGGTGCCATCTGGAGGCTCCTGGCTGCCTGTGCGGAGCCCGGTTGCACCAAGGCTCTTGGCTCCCTGTTGGGAGGCCAGGAGCCGTCCAGCCTCCGGCGCAGAGCTCCCTGCTGGGAGCCGGGGGAGCTGGGCTCCTGGTGGCGGGGAGCAGGGAGCCGAGAGCTGGTGTGGTGGGTGGAGGGCAGCCAGGCTTCCTGCAGGGAGCTGCATGCGGAGCTCAGAGCCCAGGTTCTCAGACCCCCACACTGCCACTCTTAAGTGGGTGGAAGCACTCCTGGTGTGGACGCACAACACCAACAGAAGGATGGCAGTGTGTACATGAACCACAAGAAGCGCAGGGTTTATGTCAGTGTAGTTAGAGCGATGCCCTAACATAGGTCTATTTAAATTTCTAGTGTAGATATGCACTCAGCATAAATCAGGCCCCATATGATTTCCATTATTTGAATTTCTTGCCTCAAGAGGAATCTTGAATAAATTCATTTGCTAATTTTATGCTGCTACTTTTCATTTCAAAAGCACACGAGTTTTGTCATTATTAACTTTTTGGAAAAGGTAGACTGGTGATATTTTATAATGAACAGTCCATATGGAATATTCCAGATCAGGTCATCATGCATACCAAAAGAATTCAACATTACTGTCATTGCCAAGAAAATCAAAGGAAGGGATATTTTTCACGTAATTTAAAATAATTGCTAACTAATTGGTCTAGGAAAAGCAGCTTTACCGGCCAGTGATGTCCAAAGACAAAGATTTGGCTACGTGCAATGTCCACACGGTTCCAGGCCAATGCCAAGCTCAGCTGATCTGGTGCAGATGCGTTGGTACCTAAGCAAACAAAAGTATTTGGCATTTCACACTTCATGTAAATGAGTGGACACCACTGTAATTTAATTCTCTGGGGATTAGATCAGAACTTCAGCTGGTCTAACGGTGAGTAGTTATGTTGAAATGAATGGAGCTATGATTTTTTTACACCAGTTGAGGATTCGGCCCAATAATCCTTTCAAAATTGGGTATAGTAACATTGTTCCTTTTTCCTTGCAGTTCACAGAAATGGACCTTAGTCCCTTACTTATTTTAGCAAGAGTTTTAGTCTTGTCTCATTTATACACATTAGTGATACAATATCTTTCTCTGTAAATGTTGTTTAAACAACATTATGTAGTTTAAATGTTCAAGAATAATTATCAGAAGCGACAGAATAATCTCAAAAGGTTCAGATTAGCTCGCAAACAAAAATCTTTGTGATAAGAACATTATGGCTGAGAGTGTGCTTTGGAATCCAGCTAACAGTCCAAACCAACATTACTTTCTTTACAAAGATTTACTTTAAAAACAACAACAAAAACCAAACTCAAGTGTTAGAATGTTTGGAAATGACATGGCCGAGGGGAATTGGCTGGATCCCTTAATCCAGCCAGTTGAGTGATCCAGCTCATTCTGCATTGTCATATCATCCTCCATCCTCATTATCACCCATCTGATTTACACCCCACACACAAACAATTTTTTAAACCAAACACTTTTGTTAGGACCTATATAAAGGTACAGATAATTTACTAGGAGAGGATGGGAAATGGATCGATTGAATAAGAAATGGGATTTTATTCATTTGCTATGTTGAACTTTGGGTATATTTTTGCAAGTTTTGTGCGGCTAAGCTAAGTGTGGGTGGGTGGTTTCAGGGGTTATTGCCACCCCATAACAAATCCCCACTCCTTGCTAAGAGTCTAGACCTTTATCAGAGCTTAAGCAGCTCCTCTGAAAGGCTTCTTCCTTCTCTAAACCCTGCTGACTTTATCCCTAATACTGCTCCGCTCCCTTCCACAGAGCATAATCAGTAGTTTGGCAGATGCCCTAAACACAGGTCTGGTGATTCCTTAATCCCATGCTTCTCTTTTCCCTACATCTTTCACCTAAAGTCTCTTTTGTAATCAACTGATATCAACTTCCAAAGTGCTTAACATTTGATAATAGCAGTTGTTCCAACAAAGACAGACTCAGCCACAAAGTTTAGGGGGTTTAGATTGGGGGGAAAAGAGAGAGCAAGCTTATTGGACAGATAAACCAATTACATTTAGAAGTGACTATAAAGCCTCACTCTAATCCTTGAACTACATTTTTTTTTGAGGTTTAAAAAAATCTAGTTATCTTCTTCCCTCTCCCCATGTTATTTATCATTTTGCATACACTGGCCAGGACTGGAATTGGATGTATTGAAACACCATGAGACAGGTCAGAGAGACAGGTTGGGGAGGTAATATCTTTTATTGGACCAACGTCTGTTGGTGAAAGAGACAAGCTATTAAGGCTACGTCTACACTGCACACCTTACAATGGTGTGGCTGTGCCGCTGCAGCTGTGCTGTTGTAAGGTAAGCAATGAAGCTGCTCTTTGTGGCCGAGTTCTCTCCCCCACTTCACCTTGAATGGTCCCTTAGAATATGTGCTAAACAATCTGTTCCACCTTGCATTTAGCTGTGACACTCAGAGTACCTTTGCCAGACCTGAAGAAGAGCTCTGTGGAGCTTGAAAGCTTGTCTTTTTCACCAGTAGAAGTTGATCCAATAAAAGATATTACCTCACCTACCTTGTCTTTCTAATATACTGGGACCAACACGGCTACAACAAATGCAAACACAAATGAGAAAGGTTCTTCTGGTATTTCCTGTCCAAGTGGAAGAAGGAAGCTGTGGAAACTTCAGGGTAATGCTATGGAAAAGTTCAGATCTAGACCTTACATATTGGGCTCATATCTTATCAGACCTGAACCCAAAACACCAAATGCTTTGAGGTTACTAATCTGAACTGATAAGAACAGAACACACAAAAGTTTTGGTATTTAGAATGACCCACACAAAGCAAGTGTTTTTTTTTTTTCAAGTTGGTTTGTTCATCCTTATTTGTTGCCTGCATAAAAACTCACCTTTAAGTAGAGCAGTTAAAATAGACATCTCAATGTCCTGTTGCCCCTCAGAACCCATACGGAACACAGTTATCTATAGGAGAGAGTAAAACCAAACACACAATTAACTCAGGAACATAACTTAGAACAAAAGAAAGAAAGAGAATAAGGCTATGTCTACACTACACAGCTTTTAGCGACAGGGCTGTGTCGGTACAGCTGTGCCGCTAAATGTCGTGCAGTGTAGCTGCTGTTCGTTGGGTCTTCTGCAGACAATGCACTGTTCACACTGGCACGTCGTGGCAAAACTTTTGTCTTTCCGGGGGGGGTGGGGTGAGGGGGGAATGTTGCCAGTGTAGACATAGCTTAAGGGAAAGAGAGAGAGAGAAAAGTAGAGAGATAAATTGCATATTTTTCTATATTGTTTGAAAATTTTCAAAATTTTCAATTTCAATTACATTTTTCATTAAAATTTCTAATTTTGACAAATAAAAAGGGATGAAAACTTTCATATCTTTGTCCTGTTCTTTGACTGACTATACAACTAGTAAAAATAAAAACAAAAAATCAAAATTTTAAATTGATGAAATTTTTTCACTGACAGATTTTTGACAAAAAGCACAGGACAAAATTGCTGCCAATTTTATATAGGTTTCCAACCATCTCTAGTATTTTACAGTATTCTGAATTGCCCACTTATACCTGAAATAACCATTATTGCATTTCTTTGACTGAATTTAACATTCACACAAGTTTGAGATGCAAGTTAAGTAATACATTGACAAAAAGTACAATCCTGGATGTGGCAACTCTCTTCTACACAAAACTGAATATTTATATTGATGTTTGGTTCAGTTGCTTATTAGTGAATCAAATCTACTGAGTTAAAAATGCACAATAGTGCCCTAACAAAGCAAGTTTCTTGGGACATTTTTCTGCAAACCTGCTTTCCTGTGCTTCACCTCTCAAAACACCCCTCTTTCACCAAGCAGGTAGGTATGGGTGTAACTTGCACATACAGTCAGTGACCTATGTTGGAGGTGGTGGTAAGCTGCAGGAGGCATTTGCCTCTGGCAGCACAATTCCTGCCCAAAGCATACGAGTGGAGAGTACACCCTTTGGACGGTACTGTTTGCTACCCCACTTCACACCAAACAAACTCTGCTCCCCGGGCCCTCCTCCCCTTCTTTGGTGTGCATTATGCCCTTGCACGCTCACAAAGAGAACACTCCCTGTATTCCAAGGCAGTTGTTCACAGCCCTTTTTCAAAGGGACAAGTGGCTAAAACAGGAACCAATCTGAACCTTAAACCAGAAACTCATCAAAAAAGTTTGGGAAAAAAAGCCTATTTAATGTTTTGCCCCATTATTTTTCATATTTGCGACTGTCCTTCTGGGTTCTGGTTGGCATTAGAAAAGAAGTGCCAAAGCACTATAAGAAAGACTCCATCAGCTTAGTGTCATTAGAAACAGAGGGCTCAAACCTGCCAGATACTGAGAATTTTGGCCTTGATCCAGCCAAGCACTTAAGTCCAGGAGTAGTCCACTAAAGTCAATGGGACTGTTTAGATGCTTGCAGTTAAACATGTGCTTAAGTGCTTTGCTGGATCAGGGCCAGAGTGCACAGCATCTTGCAGGCTGAACCTAGAAAGCACAATGGGCTTTACAATGTATTTTATTTAACATGGTTACAGTACAAAGAATGATCTGACACTCACATTCTATGCAAACTTGATCTGGATTTGAAAAAAAAAGTGTGATGAAGGAACATAGGAACACTGACTTTCTGTATAGTCAGTGCTTCAAGTATTAACAAATGTCTCGCTCAGTTAGAAAATACTACTTCTGTGGCAGAGAACTGGAGAGTAAAATGGATATAAATATCTAGCTTTCAATGAAGGTATCCTATAGTATGTCACTGATTCTGAGACTAGAGAGCCTGACACCTGTAAATGTCCTTTACTTTGTATCATTTTTATGTTACCCCAGAATATCTAAAGATGTTTCGCTTTTGAGTGAGTTTTAATATATTCATATTGGCCTTCTGAAAAGTACTTCTATATGCTGTAAGGCGGATGCACTGATTTATGTTTCTTTCTGATTGCTCAATAAAAATAACTAGATTAGAAGAACAGTCTGGTAAATAACTCTGTGCATTAGTGATTGTTATGCATTATTAGAATTAGTATTAGAATAATTATTAGAATAAGTATTAGAATAGCACCTAGAGGACTCAAACAAGATCGGGGTCCCATTGTTCTAGGTGCTGTACAAAAATGTAATAAGAAACAGTCCCTGTCCCCAGGAGATTGCAATCTAAATAGACAAGGCAGACAGTAGGGTGGGAGAAAAGGAAATACTATTGTTCCCATTTTACAGATGGGGATTTAAGCACAGAGAAAGTAAGCAATTTGCCCAACTCAAACAGGACATCTACTAGACTGTAAGCTCCCTGAGGCAGGGGCCATCTTTCTTGTTATGTGTATGTACAATGTACAAAGCACAGTAGGGTCCTGGTCCTGTAGACTAGGGAAGGTTACTACAGGTTAATTGGAGCACCTGTAGCCAATTAAGGCCCTGCCAGGAACCTAATAAAAAACCTCTGCTTCAGGCACACAGGGCAGAGTGAGGAAGGAGAGAGGACTGGAGTTTGGAGGTGTGTTGCTGAAAATTGAAACACCAGAGAACGGGGGAAGGGAGACCCTGCCCCAGCAGAGAGACTCCCTCCCACAGTGTCAAGGACCGAGGGTAACTCTACCCAAGGGGGAAGAGGGTAAGAAATCCATAGGGGTTGAGAGGGACTGGGGCTCAGAGTGAGGAGCAAACCCAGACCCCTTCTCTGCTTCCCTCCTCTACCACCTTCCTGGGCCACCAGGGGGGGCCCTTGGCACCCCAAGAGCAGGGGCAAGGGGTGGTATCCTAGCCCCCCTGCCAAGAAAAGCATGGGACCCACCATACCAACGTTGGCCATTATGTCACAATCCTTGGAACCTTACTTCAGTTTCTGTTCAGTCCTTAGTGTAAGTATTGAGTAAAAATTGCATAAGAATCACAGGACTGGGCCTTTATTTAGGAAACTAGGGTCTGAGAACTAAGAAGCATAAAAATCTAAGGAATGGAAGTAAATTTGAAACGGCATAATTTTTCCTTGATGCAAATGCTGAACTCCCCAGAGTACCAATGGGAGTTCAACACTAGGAATGATGTCACCTTCTGATGTATCTCCAAAAGGAAATTATTGGAAGTCAAGAAAGGAAAAGAACATTTGTGAAAAACAGGAGGCCACTATGACACTAAACAGGCAGGGAATTACAGACTGGCATTGAAGGCCTTAATTCTTATCTTGAAATTTGTGGGAATTGATGTTAGTGCCTCCTGGCAAACTGAGGTAACTATTAGAATGAAGAGTCTGCGACTTGTGCCAAAACTGTGGATGCTTAATGACAAATGGCCAAATTCTACCAGAGGTCAGCAGATAAGCACCTCTCCAAAAGTCCCCCCCAACATGATAAGTGTAGGTCAGAGGTGTCCATCCTAATACTGTCTCCCCTCAAAACCCACAGCCAGCCTGCCCTGCCGAGCTCCTCAACTGGAGCAGAGCATGGTTTTGGAGATCAGGGTGTGGACTGGTTGTTTTTTGTGCACACTTTGGCTTTTTGACCCAGCCAGGACCCCCATCAACCCAGCCCACTGAAGAGATTGTTTGTGCTCTGGGCTGCCAGAAGATGGGTTCACATTAACACTGCTGTTACTGAGTGTATACGATATTCAATGGTGTTGTGACCATCATACATTAGCCAAGATTTTTACCTAAAGTTTGGATCTGGAGAAAAATATCAGATATTTAAATATTAATATATCCAGCTCATCGCAGGACTAGAAAAATAGCGAAAGTCTCTAAAATTAATTCTCTCTCTGTTTTATGATTCCTAGCTCTACACCAGCTTCTTTTTTATACTTTTACAGAGAAGAATATGACAGAAGAAGGGGAAAGAGTTGGAGGTTCCTGAGACTCAGAGTTGATTTGATGGAAAAGATTTGATTAACTGGATTTCTGGATGTTCTGTTTGCTGCTCTTTATCCCCAAAGTGGGACATCAGGATTAATATTTAAGCTGATAAAATTGGTCTCATAACTCCCATTATTTACCCTAATTGCAGAATGCTCATTCTGTAACTTACTAAATTTTGTTTTGGCAGCAAAAGGCTAAGAAAAATCATTCTTTGATTGATGCTTTGACTGCCGGAGTCAGATTCTATAATAAAAGACAATGCCTTCCAGACTAGCATAATATATCACTTGAGGATTTTGAGAAGATTTCCTGATGGAGTCTCCGGATGTGGATTCATATTAATGGTGTTAGGTGGGGTTCCGTACATTTTACCTGCAATCAGGCCTGAAATCATGGCCTTATCATGCTAACCACAGAACACTGTCCAGACTTCAGTTTGAGATGGACAGAGATACACGGCTCATTTACACTGATGAGGCTCTTGTTAATTATAGTGAGGCCAGCATTAACAGAACTGACCCAATGGAATCTTTCACTAGTGTCATACATTCATTGGACCAAATTCTGAAGTCCTTAACTTGGATCTTATTAAGTCAAAACTGTCATTGAGAGTCAGTGGAGTATGCAGGAGTAAGGAGCAGGAGCTGGAATCTGCCGCTCTTACACACAAGGAGTAGCACCTCACTCCATGTGTACTCCCTTTATTGTGGATGAACTGGGCCTTAAGCATAAACTTTGTATTTAGACTTGGGTTAAGACAGCTTTGTTCATTTAATCTGCAAGAATCAGATCCCATTCTGGAAATGCAAACTGCTGCAGATATCACATAACTACGTGCGGAAAAAACAAACATGAATATACTTTCTTTTCCCTGACACTTCTCAGTGTGCAGTGCCATGTTATGAGGGGGAACTATGGTCCCACTTCCCAAAGGTATTTAAGTGCCTAAATCCCATGGATTTAAATTATTTCAATGGGAGTTAGGCACCTAACTATCTTTGAGGAGCTGGGTCAACTTGTTTACAGAGATCAGACTGTCATGGTGTGTGGATGCCCTATAGTGCCTCCTGCTGTCTCCTGCTCCTTGCCTCATGTTCCCTCCCCAAGGTGGGTCTCAGCTCACACACTAGTCAGTTCCAGAGGGGTTTGTTAACCCTCCGGCCAAATCACACTAACTAAAAAGTCCCAACAAATAAAAAAGGAGCTTCTGCCCTTTGGGGCCTCTCTTCAGACCATCCTCTGAGCCTTATTCCCTATTATAGGCTCAGAGGATCCCGGAATGAGTCCCACATTCCCTCGGCAGACAGGATTGGCATACTTAGTCCTAAGAAGCAGGAAGCATTTTGGAAGAGGAAATAGAGGAGAGAAATACAGACTCTCATTATAAAGGGATAGGAGATGTTATCTTCCTGCATGAGAAGAGCTGTACCTCTTTCCATCTAGTGCTCAGCCTAGTTACAGCCCCTCAGTCTATGTCATGGAGATGAGGCATCGCTTCACTAGGGACAGAATCAGGTATAGCACAGATAAGGCAATTGTCCTAAATTTCATACTAAAAGTGTGGCACACCTGGTTACTGCAGGCAGTTAGGAGAGAGGGGTTTGGTATTTCAGTCCCACTCCCACCTCTAAAAATAACCAGCATTTAGAATAGAAAAAACAACACCGAAAATGGAAAAAGCTAGACTTAGCCAGTTGAAACTGCTGTTAAAAACAAAGCTGTTAAAAAGTCGTTGTTGTTGTTTGAAAATGGCTGCTTCAGATTTGCAACCAAAAAGTATTAACTGGAAATCTACCCCTTGTCACAAGGGAGGATATATTCATACGATGAAAATATGAAAAAAATTCCTCAGCTGCAATTAACCAAGTGGAAACATTCATTGGTACCTTTTGCATGCTAAAAACAACAGACTATATCCCCATGAGTACAAGCACTATTGACTGATGATGGATGAATACATTTATGAATCCTAGACAATTTTCTTTTCCTTACAAGTGAGTTTCTCCCCTGGTGGGACATGAAGGAGTGTGACTCAATGATGTGGATAATACTGTCATGGCAAGCATGGATCAGGAATAACACTGATGCTTAAGAACATTTAAAACAATTTTTTCCCCAGGACTTAAAAAAGACAAGTCAATTGTAAAAGAATGCAAGACAAAAGACTAAAATCACTTCTTCAGGGAATCCTTCCTCCTATTATCTTTTCACTACCTTCTGCACCTGATCCTCCCATCATGTCTATTTTAGGGCCCAAATCTGTCCCACTGAAGTCCATTGGAATGTTCCCATTCACCTAAATGGGAATCTGGTCATTAAGTTGGAACTTGTTTGGGATGGAAGTGATCTTGCCTTAGTCTATATTTGTGAATCATTGTGTACATTTCTGGCACTCTGTGAATGAAAGATAAATAGTAATAATATGTAAATGGCATTTGAAAGGAAGGGTAGGGTTGTACTAAGATTAAAGCATTTGTGAATGAATGTTCTGGCACTTACAAGTTCCTTTTTTTTCATACACTCCATGAGAATGACAAACAGCTGATGGGCTTGGTTCCGGTTGTAGTTGAAGGTTTTTTGAATGGTAACTAGAAGCTGGTCCCTGAGGGATTCACTTATTATCCTAATAGAAAAAAAAAGAGAAAATACCTAAAAATAATATAAATTACACTTCATCATTAAAACAAAAAACAACAAGAATTTTTACATCAGTCCAGTTTCTTTGTTTTGAGAACATATAATTTATCCAGGATCTTCCTATTTTATGATATCAGATTATGGGACTAATGAAAAGAGTTAGCAGTACTCTCATGAGATCCATACCAAAATTGGTTCCCATATGGATGTCTGAAAATCTTAACACTGGAGCCAAAAACTGAATGGCAAGGAGCCTGAACCATCTTTTCATCCACAGAGGTGATAGCCATGCTGTTACATGTTCTGTACCTCCATTTGAGGATCAACCAAGGAATTCAGTCTCCAGAGATCTCCAGAGGACATTTTACAAGACCACTAATTTCACATTAAAATGCTGCAAATGCTTTTCTGTAAAGCTGAAGGAATGGGATTTTGGGGAAAGTGGGGTGGGCGTATTGTATTATGCTACTGGGTGGTACTGTATTTGTAAGTGGACTATGAACTGAGTTCTTGTCAAGGGGAGCCTGGAAGCTCATACAGACTATTTAAAAATATGAAGTCTAAAGAAAAATCTATAAAAAAAAGTTGAAAATGTTTCGGCAATGTTTAAATGATTTGATTTGGTCTGTGAAAGTAATACGAGATGTGAACCCTCCAACCTTCACTGGTTTCTTCATAAAACATTTATTTCAAGAAGATGGCAAATATTACCAACAGGCATTCAGAGCAACAAAACTGCTGAAGCTACAAAATGTAGATGAATTAAGAGCTCATCAGAAAATTACTCTCTCTAATCTGAAAGTAGGGACTCCAAAGATACCTCATCATCAAACAACTTCTATAGCCTGAATGCAATTATCTCATCATCATCATCTGATAGGGAAAGTGGACATAGCGTCATGCATACTGCAATAGACAGCCATGCAGCAGTCAGCTATCAAACAGACTGATTTCTGATAAGTAATTTCAATTAAATTTGAATACACTAGAGAAGACTAGAAAGATGGTGAAGGAGGGAAAACTGAGAAATGTGTTGGTGAATTAAAACAGGACATTTTCGTGAACGTTTTATCCCTTTTGTTTTCAAAATTCAATTTTGTAACTTGAATGAAAACTTGTGTCAAAATTTCAAAATTTTCATCCACCTCTACTGGCAACATAGAAGCAAACTAGGTAGTATCATACCACCAGTGCCCTGAGCTGTCCACAGCCTTTGTAATGATCCCAAAAGTCTTACCCCCCTTCTTCAGAATATTTGTGTGCAAAAGACAGAATGTCAGATGCTCGTCCACTGCCATCACAGATAACAACAGGGAGAGGGGGCTCTTCTCGCAGACATTCCAGGACGATAGAGATCACATTGGGACCCCCTTCAACTATGAGCCCAACCACTGGCACACCTTGTCCCAGTCCTGTAAAAGAAACAGGTGTGTCATTAAACACCAGTAACAGTGGTGGGTTTGTTTCAAAGAGGTGGAATGCTGTGAACGTGTGTGAATTCTGTGTTATGGCTTCCCAGTGAACCAGAGCAGCGAGGAAGCTTCAGGAAAAGAAATGGAGGGTGCGCATGATTGGGTGATGGCGTGAAAGGTATCGCCTATGTTTCTCCACAGCCCCAAAAGAAAGAAAGCAAAATGTCTCCCAGCTGATTTTCTTCGGTACTGCTACTTACTGTCTATTTGTTCACACATGCATTAAGTGATCCGTTTTGCAATCTCAGTTGCATGGGAATCTTGTTAGAATCCATCTGCAGCTAGATCAACTATACTAACTCTAATACCTTATTACTCCAATTAATATTCTGATGGCTCTAGGCTATTGTCTCCTTGCTACTTTTGACTAGTTTGGTACTTATACACCATGTTATCCTCAACATGACATCCACCTATGCTTTCTCTTCAGATAGAAGCATTAATTTGCTCTCTTTATCATTAGGTTGAAATGGCTGGCCGATGTAAGAGACGACAACTGAGCATCCCTTTGCTGTCCCTGCCTCACTATGAACTCCAGGCATAGGATGACAAAGGGAAGCCCACAGGTCACATGGTCACTGGAGTCTTGGTCACATGATCATTTACAACTCAGGAAAATGCAAGGCAAAAAGCATTAGGTGCAAGCTGTCTGATTTCACTACCCATGAGCATTTGGATCAAGTTCTTAATTCTGTAAAATGATCAACTTTTCATAAAGAGGTTGTCTGTTTTTTTAAAAAGTTCACTGAGAGACTGTGGAAGGTACCACAACAGCAACCCTGCATATTTAATTTGTCTCTCTGCAGAACAGGCACAGCATGGACAGTGGTAGGTCAAGTCTCCCCACACTGTCCCACCAACGTGTCCTATATCTGATTTGGAGGGATCCCAGATTGGTTCAGCCTTTATGCCCATTAAATCATAGAGCCATTAAATTATAGACTATCAGGGTTGGAAGGGACCTCAGGAGGTCATCTAGTCCAACCCCCTGCTCAAAGCAGAACCAATCCCCAACTAAATCATCCCAGCCAGGGCTTTGTCAAGCCTGACCTTAAAAACCTCTAAGGAAGGAGATTCCACCACCTCCCTAGGTAACCCATTCCAGTGCTTTACCACCCTCCTAGTGAAAAAGTTTTTCCTAATATCCAACCTAAACGTCCCACTGCAACTTGAGACCATTACTCCTTGTTCTGTCATCTGGTACCACTGAGAACAGTCTAGATCCATCCTCTTTGGAACCCCCTTTCAGGTAGTTGAAAGCAGCAATCAAATCCCCCCTCATTCTTCCCTTCTGCAGACTAAACAATCCCAGTTCCCTCACCCTCTCCTCAGGGCCCTAGGCGATCGCCTAGGGTGCTAATATTTGGGGGGCGGCAACCGCGGCGGCTGGATCTTCGGCCGCCCTGGTCGTCGTCGTCATTTCAGGGGCGGGACCTTCCGCCGCCTCTGTCGGGGGTGGCATTTCGGGGACGGGACCTTCTGCCGCCTAGGGCGGCAAAAAAGCTGGCAGCGCTCCTGCCTCTCCTCATAAGTCATGTGCTCCAGCCCCCTAATCATTTTTGTTGCCCTCCGCTGGACTCTTTCCAATTTTTCCACATCCTTCTTGTAGCGTGGGGCCCAAAACTGTACTCCAGATGAGGCCTCACCAATGTCGAATAGAGGGGAATGATCGTGTCCCTCAATCTGCTGGCAATGCCCCTATTTATACAGCCCAAAATGCTGTTAGCCTTCTTTGCAACAAGGGCACACTGTTGACTCATATCCAGCTTCTCATCCACTGTAACCCCTAGGTCCTTTCTGTAGAACTGCTGCCTAGCCATTCAGTCCCTAGTCTGTAGCAGTGCATGGGATTCTTCCGTCCTAAGTGCAGAACTCTGCACTTGTCCTTGTTGAACCTCATCAGATTTCTTTTGGCCCAATCCTCTAACTTGTCTAGGTTGTTCTGTATCCTATCTCTACCATCCAGTGTATCTACCACTCCTCCCAGTTTAGTGTCATCTGCAAACTTGCTGAGGGTGCAGTCCACGCCATCCTCCAGATCATTAATGAAGATATTGAACAAAACTGGCCCCAAGACTCTGTTTGATACCGGCTGCCCACTAGACATGGAGCCATTGATCACTACCCATTGAGCCTTTCACATCTCTGCTTAGACATCCAACAAGGGTGCCAAATAGTGCCACTTGGGGTGACTTATTTTCTAAATTATGTGGCCACTAGTAACTGGATTGAGGCTTCCCACAGAGCATGTTGTTAACTCTTGTACTTTGTCAGATTCCCAACTTTAGTTTTATAGATGGTGAAATGACCAAACACCAATTAAACAAGAAAGGAAGAAAACCAAACTCCAGAAGTGTATAAAACAAAGGTGCTTTAGCCTTTACCTGACACTCTATTATGTTCTGCTTTTTTAAGACCATTTAAAAACCCCAATTAGTAGCTGCTAGCAGTCCCTATGACACTGCTATTTTGAATTGATTTCTGCTTATTTAAGAAATAATAGCCACTGAAAGCTCCCTAGGATTATCAGCACTACTTGAGGCACTAAAAATGTTAAGATTTATTTCAACTATAGGAAAGATTTTATTTTTAATTATTTTTTTAAAAATCACCTTCTTTTTTCAATCTTGAAATTAAAAAGCCCCCTTTACATATACTAATTATTGTTGATTTGAAAAGTAATGGGCCAAATTCTCTTCTCAGTTACACCACTGTAAAAGCACTGGGCATCTGGTTGCAACTGAGAGAACAAATTGGCCCACTGGCTGAAGCTGAGATTCCTAACAGGTTCAAAAATAAAAATCATATTACATATGTAAAACCAGATTTTCTGACCCCAAATCTCCATGTTTTCTGAAATTCACATCAAAACCAAAAGTTTATTTTTACAAAACCCTGGTTTTACAAAGGTTTCAAATATTTCATAAGACCTTCATGAAATCAGGGGGTATCAGAAAGAGAAAATGATTAGAGCCCTGCAACTCTGTGGATATCTGCTTTATATCCATGGATTGGATGCAGATACAAATTTTGTATCCATGCAGGGTTCTAAAAAATAATATTATTTCATATTAACTTATCTCTCTCACCTCCCTCATATCCCCACCCCACCCACCAAGCAAGATCATAGACTATTTAAAAAGTACAGTCAATTATTAATGATGCTGTTTTTCCTCCCATTGATTTTTGAGTGAGGGGGAAAAATCAATGACTATTAATATTTATTAGATAACATGGAGTATTTCCAAGCCTAGTTATTCCTGCCAGAGTTTAGGAATCCATACCTGGTGAATGCCAAATTCTCAAACTCAGGAGATCTAATTAACGTTTTTAATTGTTATTTTAAAAGTGTGCCCATTTCCAGTCCTCTGATAATAAGCTCAAGAGACTCAAACTTCAATGATATGTCTGAAGAGGCAGCAGAAAATTTTTAAAGCTGAAATGTCGATGAATGCAGTTTTCATTTTGCCCTTGTCTCAGTTGCAGATTCCCAAATCGGCCTCCTGTTTTGAAACATTATTCAATAACTATGCATTATTTAGAATAAAAATAATTACTGCTGGGCAACTACAGGAAAACCAGCCCAGCCATCTTTCTCATTTATCTATCTACTTTTTTTTATAAATTTTTTCGAGATCAGGATGTTACAGAAGGTTCAATGGAGAAAGAAATCACTGATCAAGAGAGAAATCACACAAAATGCATCTGATAAATGATTTAGAAATGGATAATGGGGAAGAAGTAAACAGCAGATCTGCATGAAACTTTACATGTGAAACCCTTAAACTAGGTGAGATTTGCCTAGGTTAGAGATTCATTAAAAATCTAAATCTCTGGTTACATTCATTAGAAGAGTAGCAGAATTTTGATTGTGAAATTCAAAGCGAAACTCAAGGGATACAAACCCAAATAGAGAGAAATAAAAAATGTTAGCGCACCCTCTTGGAAACAGGAACCACAGAGATTCACAGAATACTAGTTAAAAGGAATTAGATGAAGCATTATTCCCTGGAGTGTATTCAGTGAGGCCTCTGAACATTGGCTTGAAGTACACAAAATATCTTTATCTTTCTTTTCCTTCATGACTCTCTTTCACTTAAAGTCTTGTGTCATTGAATTTCCTTCTCTCTATTATTCCTCACCTTCCCTTTCTCCTTTTCTGATCCTTACTCTTCTATGTTTCCCATCCTGTTAGATTCAAGCCTTCCGTGTTAGTAATCAGGCAGCACATGTTTTTGTTCCAGTTACACTGATCTGATCAAGTTTCAGTCTATGGTCAACAGCCGGCACAAAAAAATCTAAATTTCAGTCCAACAAAAATATTTAAAAAAAATCCACTTCATTCAAGATATTAATATTCACAGTTTGTCTAAAATCTCCCACTGAACTTACGTGTGTTAATTTTCTGAAGGGAGATGTGTTTTTCCAGTTGACGTCGCAACTTAACTTCAGCTCCGTATTTACCAAGTGTGCCGTTGTCCGCTAAGATGAAGTGTGTATGAGAACTGTTGAGCACACAGAGCTTACTTAGAGGGTTTGACATTGTTTGGTAAACTCTTGACACCTGTCAAAGGGATAAGTGCATAAAGATAAAAAAAGGCTTTATTTGCTACTATATACACAGGTAACAAACCCACAGCCACAATTTTCAACATAACGACATGCAACACCAGGAAGAGAATCTAGTAATAGAGGCCTTTATAATCTGAAATAAAGAAGAGCCTGTCTTTAGCTGTCCAGCCAGTAACTAAAGGATCTCTCACTTGCTCCTTTACAAATGCTAAAAACCTTCTCCATAGCCATTGTATTGTGGTAATTCCCTCAGCCAATTTGCCAACATTTTCTTCTGCATAACCTGGAGCCCCGAGTAATTCATATTCAACAGCTGAATGCCAATCTATAATGAATCCCATGTGTTGCCCATGTATGGGCACCCTGGATGTCTACAAAACTCTCAGCATATGGCATTGGGGTTAGAACCCAGCAATTTCCAGTACACAAAAAACAGGCCCCTGCTACTTGCACTAAAGCAGTACCCTTTTAGCTACACACACTATACTTATTTTGTATTGATATTGCAGCAAGTGAAATGAATACATCATAAGTATATCGTTATTGAAGAAGTGTTCTCAAGAGTAATCAGCTTCCTAGAAGGATCCAAGCATTGTCTATCTATGACACATCTATTATACCTGTAGCTGTGCTGAAAACAGAACAAGCTTCATAGCTCGCATGAATTGTCCTTTTTGTCATCAACAGTAGCTGTTGGAGATCACAGAGCCACATGCAATATGCTGGAATTCAAGACTAAAATCAATCAACATCTATTACCCCTTAGGACACTGATGACTACCCTCTCTCATGTCTCCATTGAGAGACTAAAGGTAAATTGTCATCTTCAGCTCCTTCCTTTCCTCTTTGCACATGGAGCAGATGCCACATACCTGCCCAGCTAGTTACCTTTTTCCTTCTTTCCTCAGCAAAACATTTTGAGCATAATCAGATGGAGAATGTTACAATAATGTACATTAATTTCAGCTCTAGAAATACTCTGGAAAGAGGGAAAAACACAAATACACAAGAACTGCAAACAGATGAAACATTTTGTTACACAGTTGATATCCCACTACATGACAGTTTTTTTACAGAAGAGACTTACATCTTTCCCAATCAGATCCTCCTTATTTTCCACAATGCCCCATGGTGCAATTCCTATGGCACAGATTCGTCCTCTGGACTTGGAAGAATGATCTTTCAAGGCATCTCCCACATGGCGAATTACTCCTACAGGTACAATTCATTTAAATTCATTCTTGACATTTCAGAGGCTTATGCTGAAGTGCTGATACGTACTTAGCTACTATTTTCAAACTTTACAGTGTAATATACTTGAAAGGCACACACAGTTTTTGAAACTGTTTTCAGAAAACTCTAGTTACTGATAAATCATCCTTTAAATAATATGCTTTGAAATTTAAAAAAAAAATCTTTAATTTTTTTATATTAAACAGTTTTCTGCTCCCTTGCTCTGCATACAAGGATCTTCACATCAAGGGGGAGAAAGCACTATAAAATACACAAAGAAAACAAACAAAAATAGTAAAAAGTAGTTCTTGCTAATTTTTTTCAGTTCTAGCAATCTTAGGTGCCATTTGTAACTAAAAGAGAGAATTTTTGTTGCAGGAAAATGTGAGTTTCAAGTGGATAGGGTCCATTTAAATATAAAAAACATAAAATATGAGTGGAAAAACATTGTTGTAACACTGTCCCTTGTCCTATATTGTCTCTTCATTTTGTTGACACACTTATAATAGAGTATCAGACTTGCATCTGAAGAAGTGAGGTTCTGACCCACGAAAGCTTATGCTCCCAGTACTTCTGTTAGTCTCAAAGGTGCCACAGGACCCTCTGTTGCTTTTTACTTATAATAGAATAGCCTTCCAAAGGTATTGATGAAAGAACCATTCCTTGAATAATTTATAACTGAGGTGGACAAAGCACTGGATACTATACAGAAAATAATCCTGCACTGAAAAGGAGACGGGTCTAAATGACCAAATAAGTTTTTACCACTTCTAATAGCTATGACTTATGATACACCAAGAAAAATCAGTCAACTTTACTTTAGCTTGAGGAAATGCAATAATTCAGATATTGCTCGGAAGTCCAGGAAACTAGAAATGGAGTGAAACAGTCAAAACTGAAGCTGAGGCAGGTAACTGCCTCCTTTGAGTAGCTGCACTTAGATTACACTTTGAAGTAGTAGAGCCCAAAGAGAGAAACCATCCTTATTCCAGTTGCTTTCTTAGGCACTGATCTTATATTGTAATGTGTGTGGGTGAACCCTGCAGCCTCATGAAGCCCCACTGAAGTCACTTCAACCCCAGTCCTGCAAAGACTCTCATTCAGAGCTTAAACCGACACACTGTGATTAGTACCATTGGCTTCAGTGTGATTCATAGTGTGTTAGCTTAAGCACATGTGTAAGTCTTGGCAAAACTGGGGTCTTATTGTGTGTGAGATATGGCAGCAAGCTAAATGATAGATATCTAATAAATCAAACATTTCTTTATTTAAAAATTGTTCTCATCAAGCGCAATCACCATCTTACATTTGTGAGAGTCTTAGGAGGGCATGTAATATATACCTATGAAACATCTGTCAAAGAGGCCCCCATGCAGGCACAGAGATCTGCCTGCTGCATCATAATGAAGGATCAGGCCCTTAGTTTGCATACATTTTCTATGAAATAACCAATTATAAAGATATAGTGTAATTAACCCCTCCACACCATATACTAGAAATATGGTGAAAAGAAATTACATCTGAATATGTTGAAGCTCAGTCAGTATCAACACAGCACACATCAAATAGATTAAAAACTGACGGACAGTGATGATTCCCCATTTACAATTACATTTTACGATCTGAGAGTATGTGACTGGTTCTTGGCCCTCTGCTTTCTAACATTTTTATCAGTGACCCAGAAGAAACCAAAATCTTGCAGATGACACAAAGATTGGGGAAGTGGTAAATAATGAAGAGTGGGGCAAAAAAATCATTGGGTCCACTGGACGAACATAAGAATGACCATACTGGGTCAGACCAGTGGTCCATCTAGCCCAGTATCCTGTCTTCTGACAGTGGCCAATGCCAGGTGCTTTAGAGGGAATGAACAGAACAAGGCAATCATCAAGTGATCCATTCCCTATCGTCCACTCCCAGTTTCTGGCAAACAGAGGCTAGGGACACTCAGAGCATGGTGTCGCATCCCTGCCCATCCTGGCTAATAGCCACTGATGGACCTATACTCAATAAACTTATCTAGCTCTTTTCTGAATCCTGTTATAGTTTTGGCTTTCACAACATCCCCTGGCAAAGAGTTCCACAAACTGACTGTGTGTTGTGTGAAGAAGTACTGTATATACTTGTTCATAAGCCAAATTTTTTTAGTAAAAAAGGGAAGCACCAGAGAAGGGGGTCGGCTTATGAACGGGTATAGAGAGGGAGAGGTGGGACACAGCCCCTCCCCCCAACAGAGGGAGCAAGGAGAGGCAGCACAGCCAGCAGAGCCAGAAGGGAAGAGGCGGGGCCAGAGTCTCTCCGCTTCTGGCCACACTGTTCTCCCCCCAGCCTCCAAAGCAGGTGCAGCTCCGGGGCTGGCAGGCTGCAGCTGTGCCGCTTGGTCGCACCGCCCGGCCCGACGGAGCACGCTGCGGCCGTGCTACCCGGCCCAGCTTGCTGGAACATGCTGCGGCCGCACTGCCCAGTCTGCCGAAGCAGCTCCAGCCAGGCCAGAGACATCCTCCCCAGATAAGGTGGGAAGAGATGGAATGGGGAGAGTGTGGGGGTCCCGGGCTAGGGGTGGGTCATGTGGGGGATGGTCACAGGGGTTACTCCCCTGACCCCCAGCTTCTCCCCCCCGCAAAAATTTCCCCACCAGTTGCTGTCCTGGCCCGTCAGGGTAAGCAGTTGGCATGCCGGGACACTTTGTTTACTTAGGTTTACCTCCGTGCCTGTGGACGCTCGATATAAACAAACCATCTCGGTTTAACCAAACCATCTCGGATATAAACAAGCCACCAGCGGCTTATCCTGATGGCCTGGGAGCCAAAGTTTGCTGACCCCTGAATTATAGGGTCAGCTTATGAACGGGTTATAAAATTTTTCCATTTTTGCTTATCCATCTTGGGGGGGTCGGCTTATAAATGAACCGGCTTATGATTGAGTATATACGGTACTTCCCTTTGTTTATTTTAAACCTGTTGCCTATTAATTTCATTGGGTGACCCCTAGTTCGTGTGTTATCTGAGGGAGTAAATAACATTTCCTTATTCATTTTCTCCACACCAGTCAAGATTTCATAGACCTCTATCATATCCCCCTTAGTCATCTCTTTTCTAAGCTGAAAACTCCCAATCTTTTAAATCTCTCCTCATACAGAAGCTATTCCATACCCTTAATCATTTTTGTTGCCCTTCTCTGTACCTTTTCCAATTCCAATATATCTTTTTTGAGAGGGGGCGGCCAGATCTGTACGCAGATGTACGCAGATTCAAGATGGGGGGTGGGCATACCAGGAATTTATATATAGGCATTATGAGATTTTCGGTTATTCAATAAATTGCCCTGTTCTGTTCACTCCCTCTGAAGCATCTGGTTACTGTCAGAAGACAGAATACTGGGCTAGATGGACCATGGGCCTGACCCACTATGGCCATTCTTATGTCCTTAAGAGGACAGGTGACTGATACAGAGCAAACTGGATCACTTGGTAAACTGGATGCAAGTCATTTGTTTTTCAATACTGCCAAATATAAGCTCATAACATCCAGGAACAAAGAATACAGGCCATGTTTATAGGATGGGGGACTCTATCATTGGAAGCAATGACTTTGAAAAAGACCTCGGGATCATGGTGGATAATCAACTGAACATGAGCTCCCAGTCCAGTGCTATAGCCAAAAAGGGTTCATGTGATCTTTGGATATATACATAGGAGAATCTTGAGTAGAAGTAGGATAGGTTAGATGATCTCTGATTTTGGCACTGGTACGACTACTACTGGAATATTTTATCTAGTTTTAGTGTTCACAATTCAAAAAGGATGTTGAAAAATTGGAGAGGGTTCAGAGAAGAGCCAGGAGAATGATTCAAGGATTGAAAATCATGCCTTATAGTGAAAGACTCAAAGACCTCAATGTGTTTACTATGACAAAGAAAACGTTAAAGGGTGATTTGATCACAGTCTATAAGTACCAACATGGGGAACAGAAATTTGATAATAGTGGGCTCTACAACCTAGCTGATAAAAACATAACTAGATCCAATGCTAGGAGTTGAAGCTGGACAAATTCAGACTAGAAATAAGGTGCACATTTTTAACAGAGAGGGTAATAAACCTTTGGGACAAAATTACTAAATGTTGTGGATTCACCATCGCTGGGCAATTTTAAATCAAGATTAGATATTTTTCTAAAAGATATGCTCTAATTCAAACAGGAATTAGTTCAGGGAAGACCTATGGCTTGTGTTATGCAAGAGGTCAGACTAGATGGTTGCAGTGGTCCCTTCTGGCCTCATGACCTATGAATCACTTATGCACTTTCATGTCTTCTACCACTGAGAAAGATCATATGTAGAAACATTTACTCCATAAGTAAAATTCAGAAGATGGTAATTTCTTACCAGTACTAACTCCTCCAGTGAAAATCCAGGCTCCTGTTGTCATGGCAGCCTTGATCAGGCCTTTCCCAAATACTTGTTTCAATTTAGGTTGCAATTCAAAATTCTGGAGGCCCCCATGGACAGAGATTAAAAGCTTGGGAAGTTCCAGTTGCCAGTCTTTCACCATGAGATGAAGCAGAGAATCTGGTTTGGTGTCATACGACACACGTATATACTGCAAAATAGTTTGTAACAGTGCCTTAATATTACGGTGCTATTTTCTTTGTTATACCTTCCATTGACTGAGAATTGAGAAACCAACAAGTCTAACATGAGCAAGGAAGGATTTTAATGCTTTTTAAACAGTGTATCACAAAGTTTCTATATTGCTTGTAATGAGAAGAATTAGTAAACCTGAGTCGCATTGCTCCACTGTTGAGGAGCTGAGAATGTGCCATTCATTACATGGGGAACAAATATTTGATAGTAGTCAATCTAGCAGAGAAAGATATAATGTATGATCCAATGACTGGAAGTTGAAGCTAGACAAATTCAGAATAAGGCATAAATTTTAACAGTGAGAATAATTAACCACTGGAACAATTTACTCTGGATTGTGGTGGTTTATACATCACTGGCAACTTTTAAATCAAGATTGGGTGTTTTGCTAAAAGATATGCTCTAGAAATTTGTGTGTGTGGGGAGGTTTTGTGGCCAATGTTATATGGGAGGTCACACTAGATGATCAGGGCCGACGAGGGTGGGGGGGAAGCCGGTACAAATTACTGGGGCCTGGCGGTCCGGAAGGGGGCCCGGGGCCCGATTTCCCCAGCTGTTTAGCCGGTCAGCCCTTGCCGGGGGGCCCGAAAAATTTTTTTCACCGGGGCCTGAATCTGCTCTCGGCGGCCCTGTAGATGATCACAGTGGTCCCTTCTGGCCTTGGAGTATAGGAATTTATGAAATCTGTAAGTAAAAGAGGTTGCCATTTTAAAAACCCCAGCTTGGGTTGGAAAGGGGAAGTACTAAGTTTTCCTTAGGATTTTGAACTAGGGGAAATTACCTCCCTGAAAAAGATCAAGATGTTTTCTTTGGTTAATCGAATCCTGTTTTGACTACCAAACTAAAGTCCTTACCTACATTGCCAGAAGTTGGCTTATGCAACATTTCATTGTTTTGTTAGTTTTTCTACCTCTAAAGCATTGGCTTTTTATATTATATTTACTTCTAAAATCATGACCTTATGACAATTTCTTTTTAAACTACTGGCATTCTATTAAACGGGGATGGGAGAACCATATGTGTTTGTTTTCTGTAACTTTTATTGGTTTTGCAATAGGTTGTTCTCCTTTGCACCTCAGTGTCTCTCATTTGGCAGTCTTACAGGAGGCCATGGGACAAATGTGCACAGGGAGCAATTCCAGGAGTGGCTCCTTCTAGAACAGCGATCAGGCACAGAGGAATGCTTGAGTGGAGAAGCTTGTATTGCGGCTATGTATACTATACCTGCTCTGCTGAAAGACACAGGACTCTAGTCTCCAACATTGTCAAGCTTGGATCAGGCCCTCAGTGAGCTGGGGATCTAGATGACAGATGTTTGTATAGCATGTGTTCCGTTCCTTACCATGGCCTTATTTGAATGTCCACCTCCCTGGAACTCAAGATTTCCATAGGCATCTGTTGGACATGTTTGGGTGTGTTTACTGACGGACCATTTTTCTGGCTGAGGTTCCAATTGCTTTGTTTCCTCTCCATTTTTGTTAGCTGCTGTACTTGGAGGAATTGGAATATGTTGACTAATAAGCTGGCCACAGCAGCACCTGAAACCAAAGTTAGATTTTGCACCGACGATGAACATATTGTCTCCAATATCTGATAGTGTCCGCTTTAAAAAAGAAACCAAACTCCCCCCAAAACAAAAAATTAGATTTCAGACACAAATGATTCTGGCTTACCTACCTATTTTGTATCTGGCATACAGGACTTTCTATGAGTCGCTGAAACACCTCCGCTGAGCCATACCTAAGCACACATACCAAACCCACTTTTCAGAGGTGCCAGCTCACAGGTGTTGTTTAGTGCTTAAGGACTAAATCAGGGGTCGGCAATGTTCGGCACGCGGCTTGCCAGGGT